CGAAATAATTGGATGTAAAAGGAGAGGGGGAAACAGAAAGCCCCCTAGACTCAAAAGTCACCCTGGCAACTCTCCAGGTGGGGCCTAAAGTTGGATGCGACATGATCTGTGTCAGGACAGAGTGCGAGCACCAAGGAAAGGTCCTTAGGAGGGATGGGGTAAAGAACTGCTCCAAGGAAGCACCCTAAATTTCTTTGGGTCAAGTAGCTACAAGGGACGGCCCCCCTCATGTCTCGTGAGGAGGATTTGTTTGCAGGCTTGAAAGATTTTGGACTTTGGACCTAGAGGCCTGGAAGGAATTAAAGACACTCTCCTTAGCTTCAGGAGGTAGAGGGCGCCCCAGCCTGGGGCTTAGATATCCTTTGCTGGGGGGAAAAAAAAAAGTGTTCTTTCCTCAAGTAACATCTGTGACAAAGTTCTCCAGGGGTGCAAGGAAGAGACACCCCCAAAGGGCATTTGCAAAACGTATTACTTGCACTGTTGTTCTGCAGACTAACATTTGAGCCAACAGGTCCTTTCCATGCGTATATGTAGGAGGCAATTCTTAATATAAGCATATCTGCAAGGCCGCAGACATGAGCTCCAAAAGTTCAAGAGTCAAAAGGATCAATAAGGGTAGACCCAGGAGCCCTAGACATAGGCTTGAGTCAGACCCCTAATGTCTGGTCTGGCAAATGGACATGACCGCAATAACAGGATGCAGGACATAGCCCACTAGAGGGAATAAGGCATGGGAAAGGGCTTCCAGTGCATCATAGTTTTGTTCAGGCAGGAATTAGCCATGGGAATTGTCCACTTCTTAAGATACTCCTCCTTAATAGGGTATTGCTGAGCAAAGCATGTGGACATAAACAGTTTGGACTAGACTGGTTACTGTACAAAACTGGCTGTAAGAGAGAGTGTACTAGAAAGGTTTAAAACAGGCTGGGGAGTTTTAAGGGAACCCAGGCTAGTAAGTTTTGGGATTGCAGATGCTGGTTGCTCTAAGTCTACACATGTGTGTACTGCTGCAATAAGGACTGAAATGGTATCCTTAAGCTTAGGAGTTTAGTCAGCAGACGGAACCTCCTCAGAAATGATTTCCTCCAACAGGGACAAGGTACACTCATCATCCTTAGCTGAATGTGCAGAGTCAACAGGCGGTGTTGGAAAATTAGAACAGTGCAGAGGGCATACTGCCAAAGGAGTCTTCAGGGACATTATTCCACCAGGTGGGTGTAGCATGGTTCTGGACCTTAAAAGTTCTGGTAAAACTGATATAATCCATGTTTGACTGGTTCAGTCTGCTGACAGGATACATGGACCAAACTAGGATTATCTGACCATATAAATCAGGTGGCACATGAGATATGTACCAAGCAAGGAGAAGCATAGCCAAGCAGAGGTTTTCATATTACATTTTTTTTTGTCTAGTCTAGCCAAGTAAGTTTGGCGGAAACCACTTTTGCAGCATCTCCGATGATACAGCAACAGTATTTTCTCATTCAGTCACTTAAAACAGAAAAAAAACTGAGACTCTTAACCTAAACATATGCTCTACTTATGGTTGTAAAATAATCCACAGTACATATGGACATGAAAAGAAAAAGCAGGTGGGCTTAATCCACATTAGGACTAGACCCTCATAATGAATGAACGCTAGCAATCTGCTCCCCAGAGGATAATAAATGAGATGACTTTCTCAGAGGAACTCCCACAAACATCTCATGTCTTTAAAAGAAAAAAAAAGCACCATCAGCCTTCTCAAAGCTTATCAAATGATTTACAACAGACAAATGGCTGGAAGCAAGTTTCTTTATTGTTTTCAGGTTCCACCATCATTAAAAAATAACACCAGTAATAAATTACACATCCATCTGTACAACTTTGAATTTTTATATACTGTATATAAAAAGACAACACATATTTTAGTGTTACCAATTTTAGATGTGAAAGATACCAATGTGGCAAAGAATGGACACCAAGATGTATCCTGTGAGCAACATGCTTTGAAATAAGCTGCTTTAACTTAAATGTAAGCTGAGATTTGGCATTACTTCATTGGTCTTTGTTGAAATACTATATATACTGAGATGTATTTCAAACCAGCACAGATAAATAGGGTAGTTTTGTTATTAGCAATTGCAGTAAACAAATTTTAATAAAGAAAGAAGACAGCCAAGATGCTGTAAGGTGGTCTGGGAAACTCCATTTTAATCAAACTAGGATGTCCAATGGAAAACTTGAAAGTTCCATATTTGTTGAAAAATTTAATAAAATTGCTGGTCTGGCAGTTACTTGGCATTATGGTAAATTTAGGCCATACAAAATTATTATAGTCATAGTGCCGTTAGCAATGCTCAGTGCAGAACTCCTAGTAAACAGCAAAATATGTAGATGAATTACACAGACACTGTTTAACATGCCAAATGATTTGTATGTCCGGCTATCCAGTCCTGAGATCTACACAGCTCTACCAGAAACCACAGCTCTGTCTAGAAGGGCAGGGAACCTATTTTTTGTCTGCTTTAGTTCCATGACACTTGCCTGCCTTATCCACACACACTGCCTGTGAGTTGAGAGGGAAATGGGAAGCAACAGACTGATTAGCTCATCTCTGTCACTCTTCTCTATCCTCCTATCATGTTCCTGGTTGGTACCCAAGCACTGCAGTACAATTGACTGGCTGTTTGTGTTGCTTTTCCCTTTCCCAGTTTGAGTTCTGCTGTACAGGGACTGCAAGAGGCTGTGACAAAGTCTAATTCAGATACTTGTGCTGAAATACACTTAATGAAAAAGAAAAAAAAAATACAGAGTTGCATTAGTGTCTTTTAATATCTGCTTGGAGTACAGTTTTACTATATAACACACTAAATAGAAGCCACATCATTCAAAGTCAAAGCTGGGCTTGTTTACAATGCTATAGGTTATTTCACGTGTGAGCCAATTGAGTCCGACTTCCACATCAAATGACATCCATAGCAACATTACATTTGCTTGTAGTGGGCATCACCCAGTAAGTGGAGCATGTTTTCCTGAACCCCTTTCTCCCAGACAAGTGCCAGGGTTACTACTTTGTAGCCATAGCCAGACAGCTTGGCTAGGGCCAGTTCTTTAAAATATATTGAAACCTGCAAAAGATAAGCACTATATGTGGGGGATAACATTTCCAGAAAACAATGCTAATTGTTCCATGTTATTTTCTAGACAGCTACAGTTCCCCTTTCAAATGTTTGGACAAACTAAAGCAAACAGCTTATACTAAAAATCTCACTTTGATGGATATTTTAGTGGAGGTTTAGCAACGTATTATTCACCTGGGGGGTAATAGGTGGTTTCCCCTTTGAGGCTAACAAATACTAATTAAGAACCACAGAATACAGCTTCTCAGAACTGTTATTTATCTGCCCAGGGATTACAGCACCAAAAGCTTAGAAAAAAAGTTTGTCAGATAAAGCCCTAGTGCTAACAGGCAACCCGACACGAACACTTAAATAAAAACTGTACTTCTGCAAAAATTATGCTTTAAAATGACTACCACTCAAGGCCTTATACTGGCCTGCCCACAGTTCTGGCAGGTGAACATTATGCAGCCCACTCTCCTGTGCACACATGGACAAAATCCCATTCCTTCCAATGGAGAGCCCATCTATCATGCAACTCAATGCAAGACAACCTCTACATAGGAATGAATGGCATTGGTCTGCGCATGGCCAGAAGAGCTCTGGACTAGCTGGGTTTCCACTGGCACACTGGCAGCTATGCAAGTCTCCACAGCATGGATCTGCCATTATTACGGGATAGAAGAACTTGGGGGGGTTTGGGGAGTCATTTCAAGGATAACATAAAAAACAAAAAGTTATCCTTTATCCTATTCTCTCCTGAAGCTTAAAAATTTACCCAAACCTTAAAAATTACCTTTAATACTCAAACAGTGTATATGTGGGTGTTTTAAGCATATGCACACTCCTTTTCTAGGTTGCAGGCACGTCAAGGTACTTGCACACCTTTCTCACTGCTTTGTGGTGTACTCCAGTAACCTGAAATCTTGGCATGATCTATAAAATAAATGGTTACCGGAGCTTGCATGATAGTATCTAAACCCCTTTACACTACCTACATATTGGCCATTTAGACCACCATCTCACTGCAACAGAGTACCTCAAGATTTCAGATCAGTGGGGCACTCAAAAAAAAAAAAAAAAAAAAATCAGAAAAATCAGTGCAGCCACCACATCTAAGGCTGCAAATGTTTGTTTTTGGGTTTAGATACACTTTTGGTGTTCCAGACATTCAAGAATCATTATGTAAAGGAATTTGTATAGTGCTTTAATTAAAGTTTAAAAAAAAAAATCCTACAGTTGAAGTATGCAGGCAATCTGAACTCAAAATCAAGCATGGAGTGCAAAAAAGAGGTCTAAAAAAATGCTAAAGCACATTGGGCTTGTGTGCTCACCAAGTACAGATGCATTACAGTGGCTCTTTATTTATTTTGCCATGTATTTTGTATTTGTATTTCACTTAGCATCAGCAACATGTGTACCAGGGCTTATGCCAAAGTCTGTTAAGTAAACGTGCAAAATATAAAACGCACTGCATAGGAAAATGAGTAATAAAATTCTACTCCTTGAGAGTATTGTTTTGCATTTTGATTTACATTTTTAGGCTGCTGGGTGTCTATGCCACAAGTCGTGTGAGTGGCATGGCAATGCCAGGGCTGTCACATAACTTGTATTATTCATGAAAGGGACATTCTAGGAATAAAGCACTGCGGTGTTTTTTTCCATTGCATTGCAAGTTTAGAAGCAAATAAAATAAGCAACTAAGTGACACATTTCCAACAGTGAGTTTACCATTCATAGGTAAAGGAAACATTAAAAAGTATTGAAAAATGTGTAAAATAATTGTACTACATTCGTTCATTTGTGGATGGGCTAGTCTCCAAGTCATTTTGTATTTCTTTTCATATTCTCATTTCACTAATGCAGGACGTTTAATTTATATAAACAAAAATCTTGGCAGTGTGCATTAATTAGCCATTTGAACATTCACTGTAATTATTACTCCAATCAATGGGTGATGTATCCCTGTGCTCCAAAATGCCTTTCTTGGAAGGCCCAGACCTTTCCACGAAGTCCAACTGTAGATAATAGTCCTTTTTGTGCTGCTGGGGCATTGCTTGTGTAACACCAACAGGTTTGGTCTTAATTTGCTTATAAGCTGCATCATAATCACACTTGAACTGTGTATCTACACCCCTTTGTTCCTCCAGAGGTAACACACGAGCAAGCTTTTTTGTAGTGTTATCTCTGGAGTATCGGCAGGATTTGGAATCCTCTTGAGGCTGCCTAGTGTTATACTGCACAGTCTCTGTAGTGGTGTTTCCAATCTCCCTGCGATCTAGTGGCAGCTGGCTACTGGTGTTGGAACCCAGCAGTTCCCTGTTATAGCCCTGCTTTGGAGACAGAACTGGTGTATAGGCTTCAGACTTTTCATTTGCCAGAACAATTTGCCCCAACATTTTACACCCGTTAAACCTTGCTTTGTCTCCATTTGCACAGCGATCTTCACACTGACTAGAATTCTTTCTATCCTCCCAAGGGGTGAGCAAATCGTAGGATTTCAAGCCACTTTTAGACATATGTATTCCACCAAGCTCAAGCTCCAAGCTTTCTGTGTCTAATGACTTGCTTCTTCTGTTAACAGAAAGTGGAACTGGCTTAAAAGGACTCAGCTTATACTGCTCAAGGTGACGAGGAAGGCTGGTCACTCCCCAAGTATAATTGTTGAAAGACTGATGGGAGTCCATCTGTAATAAGTGTTCATCACATTCAGCCAAAGATTCCTGTACATAACTGTGGTCAAAAGTCTCAAAGGATGATACAACCTCTCCATCTGGACTTAGATCAACTTGCTGCTCACATTCACCTTCATTTTCAAAATCAACTACATCAAAAGTGATCATAGTTGGAAGAGCATTTAAATTGTGATGAAATGATGTACTAGAACCAGCACCGCCAAGTCTTTCAGAAATACTTGAAAATAACATGCCATTATCAGCAAAGTCTACTGCTTGCTCACATTCATTTTCTGCACTGTAGTTAGACAGGCAGGTAAATTCAGAACTAAATACATTGTGGACATGATGCATAGGTGAAATACTAGAATTGGAAAGTTTGGGAGTAGTTGCCAACTTAGTGTCACTCTGGTCTCGAGCTTCAAAGCTACCAACATTCAACTCAAAACCAGGATTCTCAACAAGGCCATTTCCATCCACATGATGTATGTAACTTCTGTGGTAATCAGAGTCTGGTAAAGGGGTTTCCTGATGGTCTTTCCAAGTCTGTTTCCCAGTTTCCGTATGCTGCATTCCTTTGTCACCAACATCTTTGCTAACATTTTGTTCTCTTGTAAGGCAGCCCTTGCTCCTGCCCAATAAGTGAACAGCCCTGATATCACATTCAATTTGGTTTTCTTTGGAAAAAGTATCTTTATTTATATGTCCTAATCCTTTCAATGCTGCTTCTCTTTGCATTTCCCAGAACAGCAGCTGTTTTTGAATTACTGCCAACCGTTCCTCTTCTGTTTCAGTTGCACCTTTTTTGCGCTCTCCATCCTGGCTTAACCCACTGTTTATGGGAAGATTGAAATCAAAAAAGTGATCAAATATTTCAGAACATAGTGTTTTACTCTCATACAAAGACTCTCCACCAGGTGCAGGACTCATGAGACTGTCATCTGGCTCATAAAACTCATAAAGTGCATCTCCACTGTAGCTGTCTCTTGGAAGACGTTCTTTATGAGAAAATCTTTCTCCACCATCATCATCTGGTCCAGGTGTGGTAGAGTCATAGTACCCTTCATCACTATTTGGTGCAGACACTTGATGGTCACTTTGGGGAGTCAGTAACTCTGCGCTGCTTAGAACAGTTCTATCAACGAAGGCATCTTCTGCACCAACTGAATAAGCATGTGGCTGCAGTTCAGTATAACCCTTGGACATCTCTTCATGTACCTTTTCTTCCAGTTCATAGCTTGCATCAACTTCATTGCCATCTTCCAAAAGTCTCTGAAGGTACTCCTCTTCCATGTCATCTGGTGTTGCCATCTCCTCTCCCCCTCCTTGATAAGTAACAAGACAAGAACTTCTCTTAGTCGTTTCCCTGCTCCTTTCTAAGGAAAGGGAAGTATCACTAATATTGTCAATGTCCTGTTCAGCAATAATATCCCCACATCCTGTAAGGGAATCAAAACTCTTCAGTGATGACACATCCTCAAACATAAGGCTGAGGTGGTCTCCAGCAGAGTTAAGAGAGGATTCTCTGTCAAGGTCAGTATTTAAAACATCAGAGGAAACTTCCGGGACTGAACTATCAGTAAGGCAGTCAGGTTTGGAAATGGTGACAGGATTTTGGTCATTAGGGAGACCTTCATTGGCTTCCACAACAAATTCCTTGGATTTCTGTGGTGTTAGGTTGGGCGGGCTTACAGAACCCTGCTGAGTCTCCTCCTCATTTTCACACACAATTGTCAGATTCCGTAAACAATCTGTGGGAACAGATTCTTCGCTCCTCCTCTTTGGTTGCTCACTGCTGCACTGCAGTTCAGCATCCTCTGATGGGTACTTATTCAATTGTTCTAAAATAACAGTCTCGGTAATATGGTCATACCTCTCACACTTGTCAGGGTCAGGAGTTTTGTTTTTCTTGTGCCTACGAATGCTGCTAAATAATCCCTTCAACCCTTTCTTAGGCCTCGGAAAGGAGAAGGATTTCTCTCCATTCATCTTTTTTTCAAAGCACTCTGTGCTGCCCATAGGAGATATATCATGGAAACTGAAATCAAGCTTAACTGGAGATGTAATTCCAGAATCTGCACTAAGAGAGCTGGGAAGAATATTGCCTGTCTTACATAGGTCATGTCCATGATGCCTGTTGATAGAATGATCAGAACAGCCCTTCTTTCCATCATCCCCAGGTACATCACTGATGCCGTCATGGGTCTTGCTTTTGCTCATTGATTTTCTAGCATTTCCTTTTCCTAATCCTTTGTGCTTTCCTCCAAAGAAGCTGGGTAAAGTGACGATGCTCCTTTTTCCTCCAAAGAATTTGAATGGAGTTTTTTTCTGCTTCCCTTGAGTTTGTTGTTCCATACATGACTGTGTAGAGTGCACATCCACCTTGGGGCACTCTCCATCATTGTGACCCTCATCTTGTTTTGCACAGATGGAAGAGGACTTTCTAGCATTTTTTTCTTGGCAACTTCTGCCAGTTTCCATGACAACTGTTATACATCAAAAATGAGTGCTGGTTTTAAGAGCGGGATTGTAGAGGCACTGGAATTTGGTTAACATAAAAACATTCTTTGCAGACCTAGGGGGAAAAAAAACAAAAAAACTTAAGACACTTGCACATAATGTTTCCAATAGATCACAAAATTATCGCTCCCAGTAAGATAAATCTGAAATAAATGTAACAGTTAATGGACATCTTTTCTTTCATAGCCCATTTTCCTGCCTTATTGCAGTACTGTAGGCACTAACTATAATCCCAAACACTAATAAAAGACAGAATACTTCTTTGCTGCCAAAACCACTTTAAAATGTAAGTGGCCGACAAGAGAGCTACAAACACAGCACTGAATGTTCTACTGCCCACATGTGTCTTTCAGAGCGATCTCGCCACTGATGGGAATGCTTAACTGTGCGACATTAGCCTGTTAGTCAAACATTCTCCATGTGCACTGTTTAATAACCCTGACTGCTTGATATTATGGGATTGGTATTCGCTTATCTCATTGGAGGCTATATAAAAAAATGGCGGCTAAAATTGGCTCAATGACACCCCCTAGTGGATTGACAAAAAGCAGCTGTGCAGGCAGTCAGGTGGTGTCGTTTAACATCAAGAGGAAGCTTTCATGCAACATCAACAGAAAGGCTCTCATGTGACCATCAAGAAGAAACTCAATGTCATCAAGGGCCAACCCTTTCCCTTACTCAGAGAGCCGCACATGTTGCATATCGCCGCAAACGGAGTGAGAGCAATAATTTTAGAGCCATTAAGGCCGGGTTCACACCTGGGCGTTTTACAGCGCTGATCGATGCGCTGTAAAACGCCCTGCAAGTGAAATCCTATTATTTCCTATGGGCATAGTTCTCACTTGGGCGTATTTCAGCGTGTCGGAACGTGCTGAAAAACGCTGTATGCCCAAAGAAGTACAGGAGCTTCTTTGGGGCGTATTTCCGCGCGTATCCATTAGGATACAGCCGGATAGCCCTCGTAAACGCACGTTTGACGCGCGTTGTGGGCTGCAAATCGCGGTTAAAACATGCACCGCAAAACGCGCGTCATACACGCATATTTCGAACGCCTAGGTGGGAACCCAGCCTAAAGGAGTACTATGAGGCGAGTGCTTTTCCCTCACCTCATAGTTCTAGCCGACCTGTGACAATGAGACTGTCACAGGTCGACTCAGTAGATCGCGAAGTGAGCGAACACATACCGGTGTTCGCTCACTTCTCGATCCTGTCACGGCACAGAGCCGTGACAGGGGAGGGACTGGATTCCCCCCTCCAATCCGCCAGCGCTGACTGGCGGAACGGACGGGGATGGGGCAGGTACAGCTGGCTCTGCCTCTAGACAGGCAGAGCCAGCTGTCACTCACGCAGCTGGGCGGATCCAGACATAATTGTCGGGATCCGCTTCAGCTGCGGCGTCTCAGTATACAGCGAGCTACAGCTCGCGGTATACTAAGCTTAGGGTGATGGGAGGACGCTAATTTGTGTCCTGCCGTTACCCTAAGGAGAACTATGGGGAAAAGCCCTGACCCCATAGTTCTCCTTTAATCACTGATAACACTAAACTGATGAACAGTAAAAGCGTTTTAATCGTCACCTATGGGCGTTTTTTGCGGGCGCACGCTATTTAAGGCTTGACATGTTTGGTATCTATTTACCCAACGTGACCCTGACTTTTATGTTTTACTAAAAATATGGGTAAGAATAAAATGTTTTATAACATAACGTAGGGAAACTTTGGTTTTTTTTAACTATATAGTAAAAAAATAAAAAAAAATAAAAAATACCCCCCGTGGTGATTATATACCTCCAAAAGAAAGCTCTATCTGTCCCCAAACTTGATAGAGATATATATATATATATATATGACTGTAACATTGAGGAGAAATATAGAAAGATAGATATGTAGCCTAAAAAGCTCCACTGAAATTGTTTTGTTGATATTTAAATATATAGGGGTGTGGTGTCCTTGTTTTCTTCTCTTAAAATGACAGTAAAATAAAAAGAAATAAAATATTTGTTTTCTATCTTTTTGTAAAAAAAAAAAATTCTGTATCATTTTTCTTCTTGCAGTTTCTTTTATTAAAAAAATAAAACAACAATCTTAAAATATTGCTAAGCTCATCTCTACGCTCTAAATAAGAACTTAAAATATCCGTGAAACACAAATTGGATGCCATTTTTGATGTATGTATTGAACATTGGCAAATTAGTAGAACAATATTAAATGATGGCCATTTTATAGATAAACAAGCTCTCCTGCCCCATATGCGTCTGTGATTCCGCCGTACTGATTCCGAGGGAAAGGGGCAATAAGGCAGAATTGAGACAATGTATGTACATGTATGTTTTTAATGGAATCTATGGAATTGAGAATACATTTTGTACTTAAAGTATCCTTGTCTCCATGAAGAGTGCTACTGTATAGTAGCCCTGTCATATTCCTGTCTGAGAGGACACTGGTATCATAGGTTTTGTTTTAAGTTTTTGAATTGTCACAGCACCTGCTGACAATGGTGTGCGTTTATGCTAACACATGATGTGGTGACAGCGACTGTTTTTGTGTGTACGGGGTCGACTGCGGAGTTCATCAACCCTGGTGACGATCACTTTCTGACCTGAGATTGTTGTCTCGCGAGCTGTGAAATCTCTCTGCAGGGTGAGGCTGGGAGTGGTATCACCACGATCACAGTGACGGCTTGGTCCCTTTGGAACGGCGTATAGTCATGTGGTATTGACGTATAGTGGGCTCTGACTGGCACACCTATAACCGTTAGTCTTGCAATGCCTCAAGGGAATTGTAGTTCCACAACATGGAGCGCTAGAGTTGCCCATCCCTGATTTTAGTGTTAAACTAAACTGGTAAACTGCATCTGCACAATTAATATAAAATGGTTTCCAAAAATCAAATGTAATTGTGCCACAGATCTAGGTTGGAAAAGAAGTACACTATATTTCCAACTGAGAAGCCCCAGAAATAAGGTTCAGGATAGAATGAAATACAGTGTTTCCCATCCTGACCTTCTGTAGCAGGAAGCGTCTAGCTCCAACATCTGAGCCAGTAACTGCAAAAAAAAAGCAGCCATGAAGTGACTTCTAGTGCACTGTTCAAAAGATAGTGGCTTGCCTGTGGCTAAAAGAGATTGTCACTAAACTCAAAGCTTGAATTATAGAGCTCCCTGCATATCAGACAGTAAGTTATATATGCATTTCATTGTACCTCTGCACGCCAAGTTACAAGTCACTTACCATGTCCAAGAGAAGCTAACTGAAGGGCACAATGTGACACTGGGATACATAATAATCCAGATGATGCTCATTTTTATTCAAAGACTGCAGACACATTGTAACCAAAATGAATGTCACCACAAGATCCGCATTTGCTCTTGACACGTATCAGACCTATGATTAGAAACAATCAAACATAAATACAATGATGCTATACAATGCTCTTAAAAAGCACATACAGCTTATTCAAATTTGCAGTCAACATGCATGGACATGAGAAAACCATTTATTCCCAACAGGGCCAGTACACACAAGTGTGTTACTTTGGAGGTGTGTTGGACAAAAGTCTAGGATTCTGCATTTTTGCTGTGTTCACCTGTGTTCTTTTACCCAAATAATCTGAATGTATATTTATGTGTGAAAATGTTTACCCATATGTTTCTTTTGTTGCAGCCATGTCCAATAATGCAGAACTCCTAGGCCTGCTATGTGCCCCCAAACTTTACTAGATTTCAGTGTCAGCTCAGACACTTCTGGTTTGTGTGGCTCCCAGTGCCATAAAAGACTGCTGTTGGTGGTCATGGATCTGCACCGCATCATGGATCTCTAAAAAGGGAGCAGACAGACTCAAAATGACCATGCCAGCACGGATCTGCTTCCGTGCTCGGTGTGAGGAGAGTGAAAAGGAGAATGAAAAAATGGGAACTGGCAGGACCACCAGGTATGTGTGAGCAATTGAAGCACTAAAAAAAAACCGAAAAACACAAAAACAAGCAAGCTTTACAATCAGCTATAAAACATTATGACCACCGAGAGGTGAAACAAGTAACATTGATTATCTCGTTACAATGGCACCTGGAACTGGATAGGACACATTAGGCAGCAAGTGAACATTTTATCCCTGAAGTTGAAAGCAGAAAAAATGGGCCATGGTGATGGACACGGGTCAGCATGTGCACCCTGACTGCAGCCCCATACACAATAAACTGCAATGCACTGTGTTCAGACACCTTTCTATCGGAACCAGCATTTACTTTTTTAGCAATTTGAACTACAGTTGCTCTTCTATGGGACCGGACTAGGGCTAGCCTTAGCTGCCCACGTGCATCAATCTGTTGCCGGTTCTCTGGTTTTCCTTCCTTGGACCACTTTTGGTAGGTCCTAACCACTGCAGACCAGGAACACCCCACAAGAGCTGCAGTTTTGAAGTTGTTCTGACCCAGTCTAGCCATTGCAATTTGGCTCTTGCCTACCCATCACAAATTCACTCAAATCCTTAGGCTGGGCACACACCTTACAACCAATCGCAAGACTTTTGTCTTGCGATGGTTGTAAGGTAATTAAAAAAAACGTACGATCTGCCTATCTTGGACAGGCAGATCGTACCTGCGATAACCGCAATGCCGAACGGGCAGTGTGCGCTTGCGCACACCGGCCCATCCGGCTTTTATCTTACGAACATGCTACACACCCGCCGAACATCGTACGATGCTCGGCGGGTTTTCGAACATGTTCCTAAGATAAAAGTCGTGCGACCTTACAGTAGTAGAGGTCGCACAGCTTCCACACACCTTACGATAATCGTACGATCGCGGGATTTTCCGCAATTATCGTACGATCGCAAGGTGTGTGGGCACCTTTACACTTGCCCGTTTTTTTTTTTTGTTTCCATCATATCAAGGGGAAATTTTTTTTTCACTTTTTGCCCAATATACCCCACCCACTTTCAGGTGCCATTGTAATGAGATAATCAAAGTTATTCACGTCACCTTTGAGTGGTCATAATGTTACGGCTGATCGGTGTTTATATTGTACAGTACACAGACTGGAGATAATAGTTAGCAACATTCAGCGCAATAATGTGGAAGCTTCCTTTCCCCTGCCTCATCCTATACAAGATGCATCATTGCCAACTTGCTTTTAAAAGGTGCAAGCTCATCCTTCTTGAACGGTCACTGACCCACAACAAAAGTATGCATATATCAGTGGTCAGGACATTTGCTTGTTCTGGGTCAGTGACTCTCAAACTATATAATTATATAAAACTGCCAGGATCAACATTCTGAAGAACAAAGATGTAAACTAATTCTTTTTATAACTAGGTCCCTGCGGTAGCACACTGTTACAAGACTAAGGTGACCCAGACTGAGAAGGATTATTGAGATTAAAAGGAGGCAGCAGAGTGAAGCAGAACACCCTTTTGGAAATGGTATTTGGGGGCAGTCTGTGAAATGAGAGAGAGGCACATGCAGTGTTCAGTTTACTTTGAAAGAAGAGAAGGCAGACATAAAAAAGAAAACTGAGAATTGCTGTAGCCATAACAAAGATAATCTGTTGATGGGTTAGTGCAGCAGTCCTGCATTCTATGCGAGGATGGCAAAGGATCACCCACACCCCAGAGAGCAGAGTGCCATTTGCCAGGGAAGGAACATGGCAAGTATAGATGCTTATTTGGTTCCTAGACACAGCAACCCATGCAACCCAGTGTGGTGGAGCCCTATCGCAAGGGTCATTTCTAATTTAAACCGGAGTTCAGCTTCAAATAATGGACTGAGCCTCATCAACTGTCATGGATTTTTCTGTATTTCACCGGGGAGCAAAATGCATGGAGCCAAAAATCTCCACCATATCCACTCACTGCAAAAGCATCCTGCATTTGGCTGCACTGAAGACACAAGGAAGCCACTATCGTGGAACTTTTTTTGAAAATATTAGTTGCATGGCCTCTCTCAGTACAGGCTTCCACTAAACAAAAGATAACCTTTGCATCAATAAAGTGTAGTAAATGATGTGCTCTGTTACATGTAAATGGTCCTATTTAGTCTTTACGGCCAAAGCAGTGTTCTACGGCTGCAGCTAGAGCTGCAGCTAACTTGGATGCGGGCAGGTCTGGCAGCGGCGAGCGTGAGGTGGGGAGGAGGTGGGGCGCGCAGCGTGTGTGGAGCCGAACAGGGCCAACCAATCAGAAGCCGATTAATCGATTATTGAAAAAGTTGACAACTTTTTCAATAATCGATTATAATCGATTATGTCGATTAGTTGTTGCAGCCCTAGCTGCAGCTAACCATTATTTTGTCTGCCCAAGAACTGCCACATACCACTGCAATCCCCTACTCTCAACGCAAGTGCAGGTCCATAGGGGTGCGCGTTCCCTGGCTCTGACGCAGACAGGATCCATCCTGTCAGCGTACAAGTACGCTCACCCGCACAGATGTGCAGGGCGGGTGAGAGTGTGGGGGGGGGGGCATACGGCCACGTAGTCCCATAGAGAAGGACGGGGGCTGCGTACTAAATCACACGCAGCACCTGTCCTTCCCGGAAGATGCCCGATACAGCTGTGCACGGAGCACGGAGCTGTACGTGCCAGCCGATTCCAGTGTGAATGAGGCATTAAGAGTAAAGATTGTGCATGAGCTTGGTGCTAAGCGAGTTCAACTGAGCAAGTCGGTCAGCGACACATCCCCCTCCTGGCCCAATCAGCTGTCGCCGGCCATTCTCCAACCCTTTGTTACATGTAACGTACGAGGAATGCCCCAGCCGCAGCTGATTGAGCCAGGAGAGGGATGCGTCACTGACAGATTTGCTCAGGACAACTCGCTTAGCACCAAGCACAATGATTACTCTTAGGGCTCATGCAGTGTGCGATTCCCAATAATCCCATGCACATCCCTAGACTTAAGGGCCTGTACACACAACGTCCGTTTTCTGTGCTGACCTGATCCGTACGCTCCTGCACTAAAAATGCATCCCAATGTATCCCTATGTGTTTTATGGGCTACAGTTCTCACGTGTGCAGTCCGTTCAGGTTACGACAGAAAAAATACTGCATGTCACATTTTGTACGGTCAGGAAGCGCAAAACGCATCAAAAACGCACTGCAATGCAGCTAACATACTGACAGCCCCACTCTAGGGGGGGAAATTTTTTTTTTTTTTACTGGAACGCATCAAAAACACGACCAAAACACATAGCACCGCGTCTGCAGATCCGCACCTGATCCGGACCTGAAAATCATGTGAACAGGGCCTAAGCAGTGCAGAAGGAATGATTATCCTTAGGGCTCACCTTCATTGGGGGCACAAAGTGCCAACTGCATACTGCTTAGTGTGCACCAAACCCACGCACACCCCTACTTAATACCTGAATGAGGACACAGATTTGAGAGATCCAGTGCCCCACACCTTTCTCCTTCCAGTAATAAAAGCTGAAACTCTCCCAAACCAGGAAAAAAAAGAAGACTTAAGACTGTAAAGCTCACCACGCATGCTACAGTCTGATTGTACAATCTTCCAACAGGCAAAGCCCTGCCTGACTGGATATGGATTGATTAGAAGGATAAGGTAGGTGCTCACATGACATGGTTTTGGTAAATGTTATTGTATGGTCAGATCGTAAGGTATTCTTATCTTCATAATGGAAACATAACTCAAAATGATCCAAGTGACACTAAATGTACTTGGGAATATACTGCAGTCAATATCAAATCTTCTCTATTCTCTCATATAGAACAAAGCTTCCATGTTCATTACTGATGATTGCACAGCAAACATGACCACAATGCTCAGTTGTGCCAACTATCCCTATACGATGACAACCACTGAGCTTCTCACCGTGTCCCAGCATTATGTGCACAGTGCAATAAAATGTACAGCGATCAGATTGGAGGATGGCCATATGACGGTACATGACGCAGCTTTGTACAGTCCACCATTCCTCTGCTGCAGAAAATTACTATGAAAACATTCATGGAGAGTTTGTATCTTGTTATGTCAGATTCTTCTATTCCTCAGTCACATGATCATCACAGACAAACATCCTAAACATAGGTCATGTCTGCATACACTTGTCTAAGGGTCTGTTCACACCAGCAGGCACGGGTTATGGATCGCATAACATGCATGCTATGTATGAGCGGAGCGATGCCTTGTTACAATGCTTTGCAGTGTTTACTTTTTATCTTTAAAAAAATGACACTTCATTTTACATAGTGATGCAGCACATTGACACACATCTCTGTAAGGGGTGCAGGAATGCAGACATGTATGATGTGAACAGGACAATTGCTTTCGCAGTATCCATGCATTACCCCCAGGCTGATCAATGCATCTGGTGGGAATGAGCCCTAAAAGTGATTTCCAGGGATATGTCACCCAGCCAGGACCTGAACCAACCTATGGCAGATCTATAAACACAGAAACCCATACATTTCACATCCTCAAAGTACAATGAAAGCACAAGAAACCTTTTCTGTCTGTGCCCCATTAGAGATATTCACTCTCTCTAATTGTCCTGATCACCAGTGGCACCAGATATGAAAGTGATGGGTAAAGCCAAAATTCTGAGTTGCCACCAGAACAGGAACAGAGAGGAAATCTTACAATGGGGGACACTTGTTCCCATGACAACGATGAGAGGATTAACTCCCATTTAAAAGATATCCTCTCACTTCCTTTGGAGTCTACAGGACAGGAAGTGACATTTCCCTATTGGGACACAGGTGGCAAAAATGAAATGCTGCAAGAGTTTTATTTCTTCTTTACCCAAAATGAAAACACAGATCTACTTTGAGTGTTATGAATGGAATAACGAGCCAGATGCAGTCTGCAGAAAAGGAAGATTTCATGGAGCGCTTTGCAAGGGGTAGACTGTGAAATCAGACACCCCCCCCCCTATTGGGGGTCCCTGCACACAGCGAAGGGTGTCTATTGATGAGAACGGTGCCATGTTGTAATCCGCAGCACAATGAGCCCCGTGTGTGTGTGTACGCAGCTATCACAGACATACAAGTCTCCCCCAAGCTCAGGTATTTGTAATACATTCCTCACCTGCAGCGCTTCGCTCTAGGCCCCGAGCCTCCGCCGTCTCCTGCTCTCGGCGCTCCGGACTCCAGCGTCCCTTCTCGGCAGATTGATGCTCCTGTACCAGCGCGGCCTCTACCTGCCCACCTCCTCCCACTACTGCGGTTACTGGCAGCCCTGCGGACCAATCAGCGCGTTCACTAACAACCGCTTACACGCAGAGGATAATCCAATGACCAACAAATCAGGGAGGAGAAAACAGTCGGCTCATTGGCGCATTCTAAAATTGACTGCCGAGGCAGCCAATCAGAGAAGAGATGCATAGAGCGGCTCTCCGCCTCTTCCATTGCCACCTCTGTGCATTGTGTTGACAAGTGACACTTGCGTTTACTATGGCAGTTGTCTGTGCGGCTGTTACTACATTACGCCGAGTGTTATTTCTTTTCTGTCCATGATTTATAGAGGTCCTTACAATGCTAGGATAGGCTAATATATGGACCCGGGGACGTCCTACTTGCTTTGTACTGTGGAGATGCAAATCATGTGTGTGATGTAGTGTCGCCTCTCCCTCAGTTCTCTATGAAAGGGTTATATATCAGACATATGACATGATGAAATGCAGGGCTTGTCCTAAGGTTGTTTGCTTTCTCTGCTGTTTACCTCCCAAGTGAGATTATTTTATATTAAATGACAGAGATTGGAAATTTTATGAACCAAATTGTCAGCAAAATGCTTATAAATTATATAGAGATTAAAAATTGTTTTGTTAAACATATGCCGTCATTATGTGATAGGACTCACATTTTATAAAAGATAGGAATTCATTTATTGTTGTGTTAAATTATAGGTGGAGCGGAGAGCGATGGTGATTTAGGCTGCGGAGTTGGAGTACAAGATCAATCTACAACTTGGTGGCTATATCCATAGTCCACCACCTGATGGCAGGCACCTCTGGTCTCATTCCCTTCCCTTCCCTACAGTTAAATGGTTGCCGATTCACTTCCGCCCAATTGTGGGACGCATGTGTCGGGCAGGCGCAAAGGGCTGGCAGGGCTGTGTATGATATCACAACTGATGTTGTGATAAATGTATTTAGTTGCTTACAATATTCTTTGTTTACATTTTGCTGGCCTCTAGATTCTGCGGAATGTAAACAAAGGGGAGCAACAGCCAGCCTGCTATTGGCTATTACAATTTGCAATAGCGGGCTGGCTATTGTACACGCCCACTGAGAAGAGGAGCGAATCTGAGCGAGAACTTTCTGCCTCAGGTCCACTCCTCTGCTCAGTGGGCAGGGTTTTAATAGAGGTTTTGCAATTTGAAATAGCCAATAGCAGTCTGGCTATTGCTTCCGGCTGCTTATAAATGCATAAGCTAGCCAGCAGCTGAATGGGGTGGTGGTTGCTTGAGAGTTACGAATAACTCTCAAGCAACCAGAAACTACAGTTCCCATTATTGAGTGTTATATACAAAATAACAAGTAACACTTTTTCCTTTCATCTTATGACATATAGTGTGTATATAGGGAAACTATTTGGGGTACCTCTAGCAAATTATATGGTAACTGTTTTACACACAATTTCAGTGACAATGACCTTGCCTGTAGGTGTCAGCAAGGTGCACTGTTAAGCTTGCCATACATTATTCGAATTTACGCCGGTGCTTGATGAGCCGCTGATCAAAAGAGCCGGTCTGAAAATTTTTGAACAAACAGCAGGCAGCCAATGAGCTGCCAGTGAAATGGGGAAGCAGGTGTACCCCTTCACAGAAGAAAACTGTAGTACCTTTTGGCCTGGTAACACCAACGTATGTGATCATGTTAGCTTTGAATGTGTTACTGGCTGGAAGATGGCTTCACGGACTGTCCCGTCTGATTGCACTAGCACGACTGTAAAATGGGGAAGCAGGCGTACCCTTTCATGGAAGACAGACAGTACACATGTAGGCCTGGAAACACCATTCTACACTTGCAGTAGTGGTAAGTGTGACGATTTCTCACAAATAGCTTAGAATGTGTGACCGGCTTAAAGAGATTCCATCTGAATTACGAGACACGCGTCTCTGATGGTAAGGATTACCTGAAAAGGGCTTGCAAGAGTCACATGCGACTTGTGTAAAAAAAAATGTAACTATATCTGGTATGGTACTACGGACACCAATACACACACAATAGGGCCCTATTCATATCTGTAAGTTTAGGTGCAATTAGGGATCAGGAACTTGTGTTTTCCTGCAGCAAGAAAGCCTAATCTGGCATTTACAAGTAACAGCTGTCACCCATTCAAGTTAAAGGAGAACTATGGGGTCAGTGTTTTTCCCCATAGTTCTCCTTGGGGTAACGGGAGGACACAAACTAGCGTCCTCCCGTTACCCTAAGCTCAGTATACCGCGAGCTACAGCTAGCGGTATACTGAGACGCCGCACCTGGAGCGGATCCCGACTTAGATGACGGGATCCGCCCAGCTGCGTGAGTGACAGTTGGCTCTGCCTATCTAGAGGCAGAGCCAGCTGTACCCTCCCCCGTCCGTTCCGCCAGTCAGCGCTGGCAGATCGGAGCGGGGAGAGGGGAATCCAGCCCCTCCCCCTGTCACGGCAGAGAGCCGTGACAGGATCGAGAGGTGAGGGAACCCGGTATGTTTTCCCTCACCTCCCGATCTACTGAGCCGACCTGTGACAGTCTCATTGTCACAGGTCGGCTTAGAACTATGAGGTGAGTGGAAATCACTCATGTCATAGTTCTCCTTTAATGATCAGGTGACAGCCACTGCATGTAAACGCCTGCACACCGCATGTAATGATGTGATATGATTACATGCGGTTAGAAAACACTCTCCCTGGATGCACAATCGATGCGTCCAGGAAGAGTGATTGATTCCTAACCAAATTCATATATCTTGTAATGTGGGCCTATAAGGGACGTTTCACTTACTATGAAGGACTTTTCTTTTAATAACTTTTTGATTTTATTTTGTATATGGAATTAAATGTTCTAGGTTTTCTGTTTCCTCTGTATGGACTACTGTTAAAACCCCACTTTTGCTGTTTTTGAATGATATTTGCTCTAATTTGGGGGTGAGGTGCCCTTTACCTGGGTGCCACTTATTTTGTGGGCATTGGAGTTGTTGCATAGATGAAACTCTCCTGGTTTGCTTGCTAAGCCACTCTGTGATAAACCTGAGGCATTATAGACGCAGAAAAGACCTCCGAGCAGGCGCAGTGAAATATGGCGCATAGTCAGCAGCTGGAGGCAGTGTATGTGAAACAAATTAGATTTCTTCTCAGAAAAGATGTAGAAAACGTTACGTGGGATACTTTCCAAATGACAAGCCGCCAAACCATCCACAGACAGTCCAGTGACTTGGCTCTCGTAGAATGGAAAGTATTATTTGCTGATCCAAAGAGTTTGTGTAAAATATTCACCCTGCAATGTACTCACAGGCGATGGAGAGGAGGGAAGGATCGACGCATATTTACACTGACCAATAAGTCGAAAATTCTGTGAGATAACAATTGCTTCCGATGGTTAGTCGTGCTGATTAATGACCCTCAGGAAGCCATTCTGCTGACCCTTCCTCAGAGACTATGCATGATTTATGGTGACTTGTTAGGGCTCATTTACGCATACAGCGGTGACCTGTGTTTTAGCGCACCGGATCAATGCAGGTCACTACTAGGACACATAGAAAACCACTGTTTTCTACGTGTCCTATTCATACCACAGCTTGCGCTGAGGAAAAATATAAACACGCAGGGTTTTAGCGGATGGGCCAGTGTAAACGGGACCTGAGGGTTCATTTATTCTCATTAACCTTGTGTTTATTTAAACGTAGGACAAATTATCTGGGATTATAAGCAAACTTTATGTTTCCCAGATCAATTTCTCCTCCGTTCAGATATACTTAAAGGAGAATTATGAGGCAAGTGATTTTCACTCAGCCTCATAATCTGAGCCGACCTGTGACAATGAAACTGTCACAGGTCGGCTCAGTAGATCGGGAAGTGAGCGAACACATACCGGCGCTCGCTCACTTCTCGATCTATCCCTACAGAGAGCCGTGACTGTCACTCACGGCTCCCAGCAGGGATTCCCCCTCCCAGGATCATACCATAGAAGATCCCTACCTTCCCACAGGCCTGCAGGAAGGAGCAGGAAGAGATTGGGATGCTGGTACACTTCAGCCATGGCCCCGACCTAACCCCATCCACTGGATCCAGGGGGAGAGAGGAGACTGGCGGGAAGTTGAGGGAGGAAGCAGGCTGCGAGTAGAACTGAGTAATGTGAGGAGAGCAGATTATGTAATGGAAATGAGAGCCGAGCACCGACTACCTTAGGGTTAACATGTACTCGAATTTTAATGGTATTCTAAAGTTTTCCTATAAACATGATGGAGATTAAAATGAATATCCAACTAAAAAGTCAATCCACTGAGTGAGCCATGCCACAACAGTTTTTTTCACCCTATATGAAGAAAGCAAGCCTTCTCAGAGCCATCATATCATTTGCAGGCTATAAGCTCCAAGCTGGTTAAGGTAGGGCTTAACAATAGATCAGCGGTAGTGTCCTTTCTTGATTCACTTGCATCACACCCTCTGATTACATATTTCTAGGTCTTGTCTTTGACAGTAACTATTGTGGTGCTGCAAGTATCCCACTATTCTATCAGGCATCTCCAGTTGGTCAATGAGATGCAGTTTTCCCATTTGCTTAAGCAGCCTCCGTATTGTCACACGGCATTGGAACATAAGGGACCCTGGGAATCCTAAAGAAAAAAAAAAACACATTTTAAGTAACTGAATTTAGCAAATTTTTTAACTTTTTGACATATACATTCATAGTATACATTAAATGACTATCTACTATGTGCCCAGTCTTACGTTGTCTGCACTCCCCTGATCCACCAATTCAGCTCCCAAAAAAGTCTATGGAAGTACAGATTTACTACAAGTCAGTTTTTGTGTATGGTACACACTTCTACCATGATAAGTGCCCAATCCTACTTTGTCTTCACTCCCCTGATCCACTAATTCAGCTCCCAAAAAAGTCTATGGAAATGCCGATTTACTACAAGTCAGTTTTTGTCTATGGCTACACACTTCTACCATGACAAGTGCCCAATCCTATTTTGTCTGCACTACCCTCATTCACCACCTCCAGTCCCCCCAAAAGTCTATGGAAATACAGATTTACTACAAGTCAGTTTTTGTGTATGGTACACACTTCTACCATGATAAGTGCCCAATCCTATTTTGTCTGCCCTCCCCTGATCTACCAATTCAGTCCACAAAAAGGTCTATGGAAATACCGATTTACTACAAGTCAGTTTTTGTCTATGGTACACACTTCTACCATGACAAGTGCCCAATCTTACTTTGTCTGCAATCCACTGCCTCAGTCCCCAAGTAAAGTCTATGAAAAGAACAACTTTCTGCAGTCAGCATTTGCATATGTCTAGAACACCACCACAATGACAGTGCTTTGGCCTGGTTACTGGCTGATCAGGTACTGAGAACTGTGGTCAAGAGTTCAGAATTCCCATTTATATTATACATGTGCACGGATAACACTGGTTTGTGATTAATGTTGGTAATGGTCTGAGATTTGTGAATTTGATACTTCTGCTATGAATTGCAGACATATATGACATAATCATGATATGTCATCTAGTTATTTACCAGGTTTGGTCATACACCTGTGGCCAATTTTGGGAAATCTAGAAGTTTGGCATGTGAGAGGTATTTTTTACTTCATGTAAAGGACAACACAGCAGACATTATGCGATAAGTAAATTAAAGACACAACTGTCATATGAGCCAATTTTTCATTATACATATTCCATAATGTAACTCACTGCACCCATAGAGAAGGTGCCACCTGGCATGCCCATGCTGATTTCCAGCAGCCCCGGTCCTAATTTGACAATCACTCCTGTGTATATGGTTAGAGATTTATATACAATCCAAATTACAATTATCACCTAAAGTAATCCTACAGTAAGTCGTTTTGGCTGCTTTCCTGAAGTCTGATCGTGACTTGACAAAGTTGACATGTGTAGGTATGAATAAATGAACGCTAGACAGATGTTAGGAAAAATAACAGAAGTTACTGTAAGAAGACGCAATGCCACCTCAGCCAAGATTTTCTATCCAGGCTTTTTGCTATCTAGAGGCAATTGCTTTCAATCCACACATGCAGCAATGATTGAATACTAAGGGGTCCACTTATAAATATTTCCATACAAGTCACACATTTTCTATTTGCATTCAGTAGGAAAAACAAGTGAATCCTGAGTGAAAGCTGTATAAAAACATGTATTAATGTATAGAATAGGCCAATATATGGCCACTTGTGAGTATATAGTTACACACATCCCTAGCAATCTTCGTTGATGTACTGTATGTTTTGATGGAAAAATGAAATGAAAGCACATTGTTTTATTTTGTGTTTCCCTCGACGGTAGATTTTCGCATTTCTGTGAAAGATCCAGATATAAACATACACATCTACTTACAGAACTCCAGGAAAAATGATTCCTAACCCTTGCAGTGGGGCCACCACCACACTGCAAGGGTTAAGTGCTTGTTTTGTTCTAGGTGCCAACATAAAACAATTATACTCACCCGAAACTGGGAGCATCTTTCCCCCTCCGCTGCAGCAGTCTAAGGTCCTTGAGTCATCAGGTTCTATGCACAGTATTTAGAACATGAGGATGCTGAGGGACACACCATCGCTGCAGTATAGGAGGTGACAGGCAAGAGGGAGTGCTGTAGGAGCCACCCGGCTCCAAGGGTCAGGCGAGTATAACTTTTTTCTTTGTACCTAGACCAAAACGAGCACTTAACCCTTGCAGTGCAGTGGTAGCCCCCACTACAAGGGTTAAGAAAAAATGTCCCTTGAGTTCTTCTTTTAAGGTTAGGAAAGCATGTTTATGTGCTGAGTAGACATCACATCTCATGATCATGATGTGTAGCCTTACACAGTGGTTATGATGGCTTAAGAAAGAGCGCTTACAGGTTTGAAATGTCGCCCTGGATTGAAGGAATAACAGATTTTCCTCTGCTGTTGGTTTTAACATGTATTATTTAAAAAGACCCATGTACGGACTGGACTACTTGTATTGGACATGTTTTGACCCCCTGAATGCTAGGGGTGACAGAGCTGACACTGGGCAGTGTGAACAGTATGTGATAGTCCTCCTGGAGTGGTGGGTAATCAGACTAAAATCACAAGACATAAATGATGAAAAATCTGAAATATCCATGCATTTTATACTGATAGCCTGGTATAAGAAGTTACAGGTCAAGCCTAGACCTGTACACAGCATTGCAGTCACCGAGGACCCTCAGGTCTATCAGTTTCACAACACTCTGGTTTTATTTACAAACAGGATATAGATTAACAGGCTTATTCAATAAAACAGAGCAAATGTAAAGCTGAGCAAAAAGCTGAATGTACTGGTAAAAGATATATAGAATGGGAGTTTTACCTGCCAAAGTTGTATTTCTGTCTATCCCCTCCTGAAATTTACACAGCTCTGTCATATATCACAGCCCTACTGGCAGGGTAGGAGACCTGATTTTTCTCTGATGCAGTTAAAAGGTTTGACTGTAGTTCTCTTTTGGGTCACAGGAGTGTATTTACTAATGTCCTCCTATGACCCAAACTCAGCATATAGTGGGCTACTGCCTGCTATATGCTGACAGCACAGAGCTGCTCTGCAGGCAGGAAAGATCACAACAATATTGTTGGGATCCACCCTACCGCCAAAGTAACAGCTGGATCTGCCTCTCTAGAGCCAAAGCCAACTGTGCCCACCCCACTGATAGTCACTGCTCTCTGCATGGAGAAGACTGTGAGCTGAGTGATCAGAGGTATGCTCAGCTCAATCTATAGAGCCGGCGTGTGACAGCTGCATTGTCCCATGCCCATCAACTAACCAGTTTCCATCATTCCCCTAGGTAAAAAAAAACCCTCTTTACCTTTTTCCCTCTCGATAAGCTTTAATGACGGACTGTCTGACAATGACATTGCATGTACATTGGGTAAATACAAGTCAGCACCAAAGTCAATGAGCAATTTCACAAATTCGGGGTGACACTGGTGTTTCAAACATATCTCGAGCACGGATTGTGGATGCTTCATTTTTTTTAAAAGTTGGAGGTCTGTACAATTATAATTTGGGTCAGCACCATAAAGAAGAAGACTTCTGAAACACTCCAAGTGGCCATACACTGCTGCAAGATATAAAGGTCCAGTACAGCCCGGGTTGGGAGTGGCTCTGTTAGCCAACTTTGCTCGGACGTTGGCATCAGCTCCATATTCAAGAAGTTCCTTAAGGATTTGGGCATTCCCTTCTCTAGCTGCTGTAAGTACAGGGGTACAGTTATTGTGGACACTGCCACGGGGATTGGCTCCAGCTTCTAATAATACTCGAACACACTCAGAATGGCCACCACTGACAGCAGCAAAGAGAGGAGTCTGGGCTTTCACATCCAGGCTGTCCACCTCTGCGCCATTGGCCAAAAGGATCTTCAGGCACTCCACAGAGCCATTCGAAGCAGCCTGTCGCAGAGGGGTCATTGGAACGCCCCACCCACTTCTGCTGTCAACATAGTTCTTATATCTGTCCAGAGATAACAACTTTGCGAGGTGTTGTGGGTCGTCCAATGACACAGCAAGATGGAGCTCTCGACTTTCCACATGATCATCCTCAAGTCCTCTGTATCTTAGCATGTGGAATCCTTCAGATGCCTGAAACAGTTCGAACACAAACACAGTTACATTCCAACCCACTGTTTCCATTTTTGCTGCCAAGGCGCTTTTTGCACATGTTATAATCCACATTTTAGGCCTGAAAATGACTTAAAACCCCAGAGAGTTATATATATTTCCTGAAAGCAGAGACCCTGTAGAATAAAATGGCGGCAAATACAAATGTTTACGTCACATGATATTAGCGCAACTCTTTATCAAACCCAAAATGTCAGTAAAAATTACACTTAAGTTGACTTTAGTGCAAGAAACACAATATAATACCCATTTTGTATGTAAAATATAAAAGATGAGGTTGTGCGGAGTAAAGAGATACCCAACATGCCAAGCTTAAAAATTGTGTGCGCCTCTGAAACAGCTACAAAATATGGTACCCCAAATTGTCCATAGGCAATGCTTCAGCGGCCTATACAGGTCATCAGTTTAGCGTTATCCATGAACAATGGCCTTAGAATTATCGCTCACTCTGGTGCATGTACTGATACCTAGCATGTGTAGCGCAATCGTCGCTTTTGTACTTAGGTTCACCTGATGCGTGTTTATGGTCTTATGCACACATTCGCGGGGGACTTCAGCTTTTTTTTTCATTTGACTTTGTTTTAAACTTTTTTTTTCTTACTTCATTGCTATCACATAGGGGGCTCACAATCCCCCTATGTGATAGCATATTAGTGGTGATAGGTTCTCTTTAAGATGACATTATACCCCAAGTGTCACCTTTCCACTTCATAGAAGCCGTTTAAGCTCAAATCAGGCTTGAATAGCTCCTAAATAACTTCTAGAGAAGCCGGGGAATGACAGCTGAGGAGGCAGATGTGATGCAATCAGCGTCACTTCCAGCTCCATTCAGTGGGGAGGAGATGGGCAAACAGATGGTTGCTGGTCTCTCTCCACGATTCACGGATGTCGGTCCCACAAGAGTGGAGCCAGAAGCAAGGCGAGACTGTCAGGTGGGCGCACTCTTCACTGGCCTGTGGAAACAATCTGGTGGCAGCTGCCAGATCTGCTTCTAGTGTAAAGCCGACTGTCAGCTTTACAAAGGGAAACTGAAACCCATCGGCTGTCTGTTTACAGGGGCCCTCTGCCAGCGACTTACCGCATACGTTGTTGGCAGTGAAAGAGTTAAAAAGGCAATTACACCTTCACTACCATGTTCCACATTAAAACCATATTTTAAACTGGAGCAGTTGCCAATGGCAACCAATCAGCACCTCTCTTCAGTTTGCTCAGTTGGGATTTGAAAATGAGAGATTGAAGCGCATTGAAGGCTGCCAGGCAAGTCTGCTCCATGGCTCCGCGCAAACAGCTGTGTCATTCATTCACAGGAATCTGTGAATTAGAAAAAACTACAAGTCCCTTCTGCTACCACATCTCACTAGAGTACAAATGTGGTGATATCACTGCACTTGCAGTCCATTGGTCCCTATCTGGGGCCGGAGGAATAGTCTGCAGAAGCCTGAGCATTACACCCGCGATCCTCTGACTCTGGTTGTAATGCTTTGCAGGCTCCTGAGTGAAAAAAATTATAAATGCAAATTTTGTTCTTTTTCCAATATGGGTGCATTTATAATTTTTTGGGGAAAAAGTGCCTGTGAAAGTCTATGCGCATTCTATTGTCATTCCTTTTAGTATCGCCCCTTTAATGTCAGTTGCATGTCTAACATACATGTAATCAGGAAGAGTGCAATCCTGTGATGATAATAAGCAGACATTCGTTTCTCCCAGATATCTGTGATCTTCTTCAGCGTTCAGATACCTTCAGGATTTCTCCGATAAGAAGGAGCGCCCAGCGTGATGATGACGAGAACCAGCATGTCCCCTGAAATTGAACATTTCCTGCTCCGGATATGATTGACACAAGGCACAACCAAACGGAATTTACATAGGGCGTGGGGATGACAGCCATTGGATGGCAGCCTTCCCACGTGTTATGACAGACAGTTCAGGAGGCCAATCAGATGGCCAGAATGAATTGATTCCGTAATCCTCGTGTGACTGTATTCTAAATCGTGCAATTCAATCAGACCAGATCGCTGACAATCTGTGAAATAAAGAAGTTCCCTCAAGTCACCGCTAGATGGCAGAGCTCAATCTTCTTGTGATGATAAATGCTCCTGGGGTGATCTGCTATTATATCTGTACAGTACTGAAGTTAGCAAAAAGCAAACAGCATCATTTCTCCACAGAAAGAAAAAAATAGACAGCAGAAAAAGTTAAAGCTGAAATCCAGCTATAGAAATATATATATACTTACATTGCTCCAGCTTGGCACAATATATGTATACTGTATATATATGATATCTGGCAGGGCCACAGGGATCCTGTTAAAGATGAACTTTCCCTTGCAGTGGGACTACCACTGCACTGTAAGGGTTAACTGCTAATTTTTCTCTAGGGGATGAAATAAAGCAGATATAATGAACTCATCCCACTGAGGTGCTAGACCAGTCCCTGCAGCCTCGTCTCCCCTGGGCTCCAGCGGTTTAAGGACAAGTGACATCATCCCATCCTCTGCAGGTCCACTGATTTCCATTAGACCTGAGGACGCCGAGGGACAGTCAACAGCCAGCGTTGGGAGAAGAGAGGTGAGTGACAACTACTTTATTCCATCCCCTAGAGAAAAACAAGCAGTTAACGATTGCAGTGGAGGGGTAGGCCCACTGCAAGGGAAAGTTTTTAAAATGCCCGGAGTTCTTATTTCAACATTGTAATAGTCGCAGCTACTACGCTGTCTTACAGTGTCTCCCAGGTCCTGGAACAGCCATTGTGCTGAGCGACTTCCCCTCTGCTGTTAAAACACAGTGGGTCACTTGCTCAGCACAGCGGAGGATGTCTACTATTTTTCTAAATGAATACTGGGACAAGGGGTGGTGACATTATGGAAGAGAACAGATATTTTATTCCCTTTTTCCATTGGGTTATCCTGAAATTTTATAATCACACATCCAGGGAATCCAGCCTTGTCCTGCTGCAATCAGCCAATCTGCCGCAGAACTTCAGATCTTGTGCCACCATCTTTTTACTTCCACTATCGGGGGCAGGTGTCTCTTCTGTGTTCTTGCAACTTGTGCTTTATCCATACAGAGCAAAGCAACAAGACATCTTAACACCTAATGCTTGCTTTCCTTTTACCCCTCCACCGCTCCATTCACCACCAGGAGCGAGTAGAGGAATCATTGTGTAAGCTCCAGGCCTGATCACATGATCCCTATACCCTGAAGCTTACACTATGTCTCTTTGCTCTATGTGGGTGGGGAGGATACTACAGTTATAAAGTAAAATTGTCTCTTTGCCCTGCATGCTAATGATTGGCAATTCAGACACCATGCACAGCATTGTGGGAGGACAGGAAGAATGTCCTGTGCTCCCCCATAGCTGGAAGCACCAGAATTTTCATTGGCTACAGTAGGGTTTAGGGTGCCAAAGAGGTGAGTGGGAGGGAAGTCAGAGTGCTTGTAGATAACTGCTATTCACTTGGTTTTGTAGAGTTTATTTAATACCAGTTATTTTAAAGCCCAACTCTAGACATCGGGGGGAATTTATCAAAACTGGAGCAGACAAAATCTGGAGCCGCTGTGCACGGCAACCAATCAGCTTCTCTCTTTCATTTTAAATCTTAACTGAACAAACTAAAGAGAGAAGCTGATTGGTTGCCTTTTGGCTTCGGAACTGTCTCCTTTGTCTACATATTGCTTTATGGGTGTGGGTGTAGGACCTTCCCCTCTTGAACATAATCTTATTACTAAACTGCTCCAGATCTTGTCTGCTTCAGTTTTGATCAATTCCCCTCACAGTGTTTTAACATTTTTAAAACCCGTTTATTATTTTATAGGATTCCTAAATCAATAATTAATTTTTACTTGCATAGCAGTTATAGGGTTGCCACCTTTTCTTCCAGTGAAAACCGGACACTCTAGCAAAGCATGGATATTTTTTCAAGTCACGACTTATTTGTATCTAAATAGCCCCACCCATTAATATGTAAATATCACAGTCGAGACTATTTTCAGTGGGGGGCCAGTAGCCCCTATCTTAATTTCGGTTGCCCCTGTCTGCCTTACATCTTTTGAATGAGGTGTCCTGGTTTCATGGCAGCTGAATCCCGGACACAGCATTCAAAACCCGTACTGTCCGGGTGAATTCTGGACAGGTGGCAACCCTAAGCAGTTACTAAGCTCTGGTGCCGGAAAATACAGCAGCAGCCACACAGTTTTTATGCTGCACCGGAGCGCTGCCTATGATAGCCTCTGCTCTGCCATTCACATAGCCACAGTATTATCACTTTGTTAATGGCAGGACGGCGGTGCTGGATGTTGGCACAACACCAGAATTGGTGTCTCTCATAGACATTATTCCAATGCAGCGGAAGAACAGAAGTGTGACTCTCACTGTACTTTCCGGCACCAGCTTAGAGGGGGGTTGTAACTGCCAAGTAACAAAAAAGTCAATTTTAGATTTGAAAAAAACATAAATTGTTAAATGGTTGTTAATAATGTTAAAATAATGTGCTTGGAGCTGGGCTCTATGATCAAGCCACCAACACTCTATTTTATTTTACTATGACAGCTTGTAAAAGACAGTAAAAATAGTTTCTTCAATTCTGAAGATATAATTAACACATGAAAAATTATTTAATTCTAGCAGTAGGGCGTTTGTAGATTTCCATTGAAGAGCAATTAAAGATTTGTGTCGTAATAATCCAATAAATAGTTACATTTGTTATATTTCTTTACTAAAGGTGAATTATGATGTAAAAGATAACATCATGGGTGGAATGTAGGAGTAGTATGAGTAATTTGTTCTTTTTTGTGTATCATCTTTCTCAGAATCTTTTTATTAATAGATAATTTTACCAAAGCGGATCAATTTTCCTACTCCATGACTACATCTTAATCAAAAGTCTTCAACATTAGGGACATTCTTGTGAGAATGTGAGGAGTATGATGCCATCTTGTGACTATTTTGTGATTTATTTATTTTTCTATTAACAGAGTAGGTATGGAGTAGGGTACTTTCTGGCTCTCATCTAAAGAGATTTCTAAACCCCTATCAAAAATGTATTATATTTCATCTTATAAAATACAGAGAAATGCAACAAATAAAGGCAACCTGGTCAAATATTTGAAATAATTGCTGCCAGTGAAAGAGGATGCGTTCTATTTGTTCAAGCGTTCTAGGGGGAAAGAAACATTTCCTTACAACAAACCAACAAAATGTTATTTTTGTATGTTTGTTGTATAACTCAGAATAATATTTTTAAATGGCCTAGCAATCCTACATTTTTACAAGTAGTTTGCCAGAACTGTCTCAAACACTGGCAGTGTGGGATACACGCCACGCTGTAGGACGTCCTGGCTTGAGCTGGACCCTTGAGGCACAGAGTTCGGGAGCACAGCTCACAGCACAGGGTGAGGAGCCTTTTAAAATAGAAAAAGAGATTGAGGACACAGAGCCTTTGAGTATAAGACATTGAGTATGATTACTATAACTTCCTTTAATGGTTTCTTGCACCGGGGCCCTGAGGTTTCTAGTTACGCCTCTGGTCTCAAATAATATTCAAGGAGAGGAGTAAATGTCCAGCAAAAGCTTTTAGTTTGCTCTTCTCAGATTGATAAACAGGCATTTTTGAGGCAAGTTGGCTTGTTAAATATCTTTAAAGATATGTATTTTCCGTCATTTTTAATGGTAAATACAGCCGGGAAGCTAGCGAAGGCACTGCAGAGGGTTGAGGGTTGTCACCCTGTCAAAGAACGTCCTTATCCTTTAAGTTTCCTCAGTCTTGTTGCTGGGCATCAAAAGCAACTAAGAAACTATAGAAAGACATGACACCTGTTTATATTTGTGCATATACAGTATATACAATACAGTATAGATTATATTGTTTGGTGACTGAAAGAAGTAAGTCTGGAAGTGATGTAACGCAGAGTCAATTACATTTTCAAGGTAAGCAGGATACTCGTAGCTTCCAGAGAGACTAGGGGAGAAGGAGGACATCAAGTAGCTAATGCTAGTGTAGCCCCTATATATATATGTTCATGTGTATATGTGCGATCACAGTGATTCATGTTCCTGACTGTGAATAGTTAATGGCCTCTGTGTGCCCTGGAGGCGGAGATTTATGGGAGTTGGAGTGCAGAGCAGAGACTGGGATTTTGCAAGAGTGATCTCTGAAACTACAGCTCCCAGGAGGCTGTGCAGGAGAGAGGAGGAGACTTAAGGGTGGTGGCTGCTGGGCGCGCTCAGTCTGGGACAGCCATCTGAAGAGGACAGACCTGTGTAGCCTAAGACTGTGTACAACAGAGCTGTGTGATCACTTCTGACATATAAGGACACACAGGCGTTGTATAGAGAGACTGACCTGGGTCGCTGAATCGGAGAGGACCCGATCGAGTGCCTGAAGGGAGGTCTGGTGACGCAGTGACCGCAAAGGACGTTGAGGCCTAGTTGCACGGCCGAACCAGCCGCCAGAGTGATCTAGCCGCCCAGCTGAGAGAGGAGCCAGATGGAGCCAACCGAGATGACTGCAAGCATCCTGGATGAGTGAAGACTTCCTATCAAGGACCCAGATGACTTCCCCTACTGAGCCTGAGCTGCAGAGGGATAGAGGACATCCAGCATCTGCTATCAGTTTCATCTGTTCAACTGACCTGAGGATTGGTGAGAGGCCTTTGGCCACATTGAGAACCTGTTTGCTGTTCATACCTGCACTACAATAAGGGCCCCAACGCCGGCTAGCTTAGGACACCACTACTGGCCAGTAGTCTAGGAAGGGTTGGGCATTGCCAAAGGGGAATCTTAAAGGGGCATACACCCCATTACAGAGAGGACATATAAAGACAATTGGCCTCACATACATCAGTGCTGACAGCAGATAGCTGCAGTTACTGAGTTGCAGAGTGCCTCAGCCTGTTGCTACACATTATTGTTGGTTGTTGTCATTATTATTGTATCAAAGTTATTCATATCTGATTTGTCAGTAAATCTGCTTTAAGATCAATTGAAGGTGTGTTGGTGTGCTTCGGATCCACGCTTTGGGCGGTACATTGGTGCAGGGGGATAGACATATCCGGTTATTCAGCGGCTCCTTAGGGGGTGAGCGCTACACTAGTAATAGCACTGAAAATTTTAAGTGTGTTTTTACCTGATTTTATTCAATAAACTACACGGTTTTACACTATACACACTCTTCCTTTTCTTCTTCTTCTTCTTTTTTTTTTATACTTTATTTTCTGCAAGGTCAATGCAGCAAATCAATGCAGAATCACAGAGCACATTATTGTTGCCACAAGGTGTACAGTATATCAGTTGGTATTTTCGGTGTTCTAACACAGAATTGTTCTACATCCACACACCATTCTCACCTTTAGTGGAGGTTTTACCTAAACATTAGCAGGGGACAAGAGATAGAGGAGATAAGCAAAAAGAGAGAGAAAAAAGAACACCAGAGAAAGTAAATGGCCCACAGATAAAGGAGGGGGGTGGGGTACAGAGCTCGGGGTCAGGGGGCTATAGGCCAGCCATTAAAACAACAGGGCTAAGAGAAACATGTCCAAAAATGAAGAGGTGTCATTCACAAGGGCAGAAATGTACTCAACCGAAATTAAAAATTGCACCCAATAGAACCATGTTTGCCAGAAAACTTCAGACTTCTCCATAAGTGTTGCAGTCAGATCTTTAATATGCATGATGTAATTTACTCTTGTGAACCAATGAGAGAGCATAGGGAAAAGACTTTCCATGCCCTTGAGATTCTGTCCTTGGTAGCGTTTAGAAGATGGACCATTAATGGTATATGATATACAGTGGGATGCAGCAGACATGCTGCAGGGCTGTCACTACGATCTAGGTCTGTAAGGTTGATGTGACACTAGACTAGACTAAATCTTAAAAATACATTCAAGTACCTTAACTATTAACAATACTGTATCCTTTTTGTGTATCACTCATCTGTAGATCCTCAAATCATCTCTGAATTTGTGCTGACACTGTCCTTCCATCTGGAGGGTGACTACTTTTGTTTCCCATAGTCTGTGTCTTTTGTAAAGTAGCCACCGCTCCAAGCTCACTCCTGTGATGGACTATAATCACAATACAAATGAGTAAACTACACTTGAAATTGTAGTTCATCACAAGAACGAGCTCGGAGCGGTGGCTACTTTACAACAATATTATTATTTTGGTATTCAAGAGTTTTGTGATCCCTGGAGACTCCCAGAAGATACTTGCTCAACTTTATCAACTGTATTGGTTGCTGTTGGTTAGCACAATTTTATGATTATACCGGCCATTCCTGGTTATCACAGAATGATACTTGCCCAACTTTATAAATTGTACCATGGAAGTATATTTGCACAAATTTATCAATTGCACTAAATGCAGTTTGAAAGAGTTGATTTTGCAGGATGAAAATATTTTTTAGTAAGTTTGCACACAAGAATACTGCTGACATTTGCATATCACTAATTTTGTTTCTTTATTTTATATTTTTATTGGAATTATACATCTGGTAGGATTTTCTGATTTTGATTTTATTTAGGTAGCTTTTATGTAGACTCAAGTAATTATAATATACACCAAACATGTTTTTAAGTGTTTTAAAATGTTTATACATAGACAATAAAAATGTTAATAATAAAAATAACGTAGTGTCCTTATAATATTTTTGATTATATGATATATTTTGTGATACATGAGTCACAGTAGTTCAGTTGTTATAAATAGGTACATTTTTGTAACTTTTCCTTGAAATCCTTCTTTTTCTAATTTCTTACATAGGCAAATGTGAAGAGATATTTACACGGTTATTCACAAAAGGGTGAAGAATTTGGAGAAGACAGGAGAAGTGAACAATCCTAGGACAACATATCTGAACTGAAAAGTGAGCAGAATTGGAGAACTTTTCCAAATCAGCTATTTTGGTCTAGATTGTTCCCTTCTGCCTTCTCCAAACTCTTCACCCTTTTGTGAATAACCCTGTTAGCGTTTGGATTCAGGTCATATGGAGAGGAGAGCAACAAGCTAACTTAAGAATGGATGATGCAGAGCAGAAAGTGAAACATATGACAGAGAAAGAAGTTGAAATATGGGAATGTTCTTGTGATAAGCAGAGAATGCAGAGGGACATGAAACTATTACATCCGTGAGAATCGTGTGGCCTATGATATGCTAACCGCACAGAGGAGAAGTGGTCATTGACAGTATCAGAAAGAGGTAAGCATTGGAGAAGTGATTAATCACAGGGTAGTATATTCATGAAGTGACAAGGAGTGAAGATTGTGGTACACAGCCTGTACCACAGAACAAGGGGGTAAACAGAGTCATGGTAAAGGAGTTGAACAGTAGACATGTGCGATTCGTTTCGTTCCGAATCGAAATTCGGACAAATTTTCGGAAATTCGGATGTATCCGAATTACAGACATAACAAATGCAAACGAATCCGAATTTCCATTTCCGAAATTCGGTAGCGGTAGTTCGAACGTTCGTTTCGTTTTCGGTTCTTATTCGTTTCGTTCTTTGGAGCAAAGTGACATTAGAGAAGGAGAAAAATATTTTTTCCCCCTCAAATGTCACGAACGAACGAAACGAATAAGAAACGAATAAGAATAGAAAACGAACGTTCGACCTACCGCTACCGAATTTCGTCCGAATCCGAATTCCGAATTGACTTTCACACCCGAATCTCGAAAAACGAAATAACACAAATCCGAATTTAAAACGAAACTAAACGAATTTTTTGGCAGTGCACATGTCTATTGAACAGTAAAATAACAGCACACAGTCCGCAGCAAGGAACAAGGGGTAGAAGGAGCCACACAGAAGTAATGCACTCCCTCCTCAGATACTATGCCATGAGTAGTTTCACAGACATACATAAACTCCAGCACAAAGGTTACTTTTTTTCATCACAAACACATCTATTACTTATGCTTTTCTGCACACAGAATATTTGCAGGGGCCAACACTCTGTGTAAGCCTACCTTGAAGAATTTTTATTAACAAAGCCCAAAAACAACTGGATTCTTACTGCAGGATTTTACCCCTAACAATTAATAATCCGCCTCCTATACTCTTCTTCATGGCGTGGTAACTTCTCTGGTCCATTCATTTCCTCATGGTACCGTAAGTATTTCTGTAGCTCATTAGGGATCCCCAGCTGATCAGTGACACAGATTTTTCCATTCTGTCTCAGCAGCCTTCTAATCATCAAACGACATTGAGACATAAGTGACCTGGGATGAGCTATATGAGAATTTAAACATATGCAAAAATCAGAACAGTTTATATTATACTTAGAATATACATCATCAGTATCAACCAGTGAAACAATAATTTATAGAGGAAAAAATGACAGATGTTTCAGAAACTATTTTACTCACACCTTGCATTTGTGAAATGTGCCATTGCTTTATTATGTCAAGCAAAGTAACATAAGCCTATATATTACGTCATGCTACTGACTGCAAATAGTAATAAGTCTTTCCAACATCCACACTATTAATGAGATCAGCATTTCAGCACATACAGCTCAGTCACTAGCTATAACCATTACTAAGAGTGAGTGAGGTATGCATTCTAGTCCATATAGCTTACAACCCAGTATCCATGCCACCAGTTGGATCTGCACATTAGTGCACACACATCACACCCTCAGTTTCCATGTCCCCAATCAAAACTGCTTTCCACTGCAAGCAGCTCACTTGTCACTACCCATGCCACTTGTGAGATTTTCACTCCAGTATGCACATGTCACTTCCTAATATGCATTCCACCAGTGTGAAAAGCAATCCAGAACAAATACTCATGAATAAATATTTACATATCCATATCAGCGCCTGTTGCCTCTCTATTGTGCATGCAGTGTCTGCTGCCTCCCTTCTGTGCCCACACTACACACTGTCTCCCTATAGCATGTGCAGTGATCCGTGCCCATCTTCTGCACTGTGCACTCAGTACCTGGTGCCTCCTTATTGCTGCCTCCCTACAGCATGTGCAGTGATCACTGCCCATCTTCTGTACTGTGCACTCAGTACCTGTAGCTGCCATGAAACCTGGACATAGCATTCAAAACCCGGACTGTCCGGGTGAATCCCAGACAGGTGGCAACCCTACCTGATGCCTTCCTATCACTGCCTCCCTTCGGTGCCCACTGCCTTCCTACAGCATGTGGTCCCTGCCCATCTTCTGTTCTGTGCCTTCCCATCGCTGTCTTACTTCTCTGCCCACTGCCTCCCTACAGCATGTGCAGTGATCACTGACAATCTACTGTACTGTACACTCAGTGCCTGGTGCCTCCAATGTTTTTACTGTGTTTTCTGGCCTAGTAACTAGCTTTACATTGGCTAAAAATAATATGAAAAGACATTCAAGTCTGGAATGTACGCAAAAACACCTGTAAAGTAAAAGCCAAAAAAAATGACCAAAGACTCTCAGTGCAAGTGTGAATAGGGCTCATAGTGCACACGCAGTATCTGGTACTTCCCTACTGTGCATGCAGTGTCTGATACCTCACATGCATTGTCTGGTACCTCCTTGCTGCTAATGCAGTGCATTGTGCTTTATATCTCCATAATAAATATGGTTCATCTGGTGCAGTATCATATTGTATGCACTGCCTGGTGCTTCATTCCTCCCTAATACATGCCTCATGTGTCCCTATTACATTCAGATCTTGTATATATATCTTGTCTCAGCCTCCCTACTACATGCAATATTTTGTGCCCCTGCCTCTCTTCTACACACTGAGTGTGGCGCTTTATGCCACCTTACTTACTACAGTGACCCATGTCTTCCTACTACATGCATTGCATGGTGGTTTATGGGTTTCTAATACACACAGTGTATGGTGCCTCATGGCTCCATACTACATGAAATGTGTGGTGGTGCCCTATGCCTCCCTACTACATGGAGTGCAAGGTGCCACATGGCTTCCTACTACATACAGAAATGTGATGCTCTATGCCACCTTAATACATACATTACCTCAATCCTTCCCAATACATAAAGTGAGTTGCCTCCTGGCTTCCTAATGCATGAAGTGCATGGTACCTCATGGCTATCTACAACATGCAATGTGGGGTGGTGCTTCATACCACTGTATTACACACAGTGCTTCATGCTTCTCTGTTAAACATGATTCATCATACCTCCCTTTTAGACACAAAACCTATCACTTTCTTTAAAGTACAGGTAAACCCTAACCATGTAACATTTATGTTTGTGTTGTGTCGCCAACACGCTAGTGTCCTCTGGGAGAGAACGAGTAAGAGATGGACAGAACATTGCCCCCCTACAGGAAATATCCGCACAGGGACCTTTCTGACAGAAGCATCAGGTATTCGGTTATAAAGCTGCAGATTTAAAATATTAATAATGACTTTTAAATTCACATTAAACTGTTAAAATAAACTTTAACAATTCAGAATGAAATACACAACCTTGACATGTGTTAAACATATTGCTGTACCTGTGCAGTCTGTGTATTTTAGTTGATGGAATATTGTACTGGGTTCTTATAAATCACTCATTCTGGGTTCTTACCTCTAGAAAAGAACAGCTAGAAAAGCATAGGGTTACAGTTTGCCGACTCTCCTGGTAATCGGTTCGAAATATACAGAGACATAGCGGGCAGACTGTCTCTTTAAGCCTTTTTGCTTCATAATGGGTGGTACAAGATAGATGGTCTACATAGGGAGCAACAAGTAAAAATATCACCCTGAGTATACCATATAACATCATCCCAAATGGTATGAATGCACTGGAATGCATTGGAATGCACAATGCACAAACTACACATGTACATGAGCATACATTAATGATAATTTACATTAAGCTTTACAAACAATTAGGAAAAATTGTTTTCTTTAAGAGGAAAAGGCAGGCTGTCCAGTATTCACACAGGAGCTGCTGTCAGTGATAAAGTGCAAAACCAGATACATCCTTGGCATCCTTGGGAAAGTGAGCTGCAAAGCTTAAAAAAGAATTGTAATAGCTATCAAATGATTAACGTTTGGGATCTGCTAGATATTCAACAGGAGGTGAGAGCCAGGATAGGGGCAAGAACATTTTCAGGTACACTAGTCTGTACTGATAGTCAGAGAAAGGTGAGGGATATTCCGCTGGGCACTGCTTCTGACCTAAGGATGGGACAGTAATATTTACAGAGACACCACACCGTAGAGGAGTGAATAATAGAAAGGTCCCAATTTTAATTTGCCTGTCATTATAGCAAACTGGTGAAAGTGGCCCAAAAAAGCAGGGTGGCAATGGGCCCTTAAACAAGAAACCCACATTCCAAGGGAGAGGGGCTTCCAACTCCCTGGGTGACTCCTGCTTTTAAATCCATAATGGTTTATTGGATTACAAATTATGTCCCCTGTGAAATCAGCAACCTAAACAGCACGTAGTATATTCCCATCTTTGCTAAAAAGGAAGTATAGTACCTCCTTTTTATTAGTGTATATTTTCAAGGGGATAGTGGGCAGTGGTATGTCTAGGAGTGGTATATCCAGGGACACTGCATGGCTATTTTAAAATAGGCACAGTGTTATTTCAAGGTACAATGTGCTGCTGAGCTAGGTATAGGACATATTAGGGGGCTGCTGTATATTCACGTGTTCTCATATTATAGAGGTTTGGTCATTTAAAATGAAACTGCATATAGATTTCATATAGATCACATTGTATCATGTATGACCAGTTTACGGATAGCATGAAGTTAACAGGTAAAGAGATAATATGACCTCTACTACTGACAGTCCATACCTCGTTCTCTCTCTAGAAGTTTTTTTGTTCCATTTTCTGCACTTAACAGGCTTTCTTGTATATCATGCAAGAACATATTAGCACCAAAATCAATGAGCAGTTTCACGAACTGGTCCTCATAGCCGTTTCGAAGACATACCCCCAATACTGACTGGGGATTTGTAAACTTTTGCAAAAAATCCCGATCTGGACAATTATAATCTGGGTCAGCCCCATAAAGAAGTAGTGTTCTGAAGCATCCTAGGACAGCAAAGTGAGCCGCTAAACATAACAGGGAATGGTAGTAGCCATCAAATGATTTAAGATTAGGATCTGCTCCATATTCCAAAAGCAGTGTAAGGATGTTTTCATGACCTCCATACTTTATTGTTCTGTTTATGGGGTGACATTCGCCAACAATATCAGGGTTGGCTCCGGCTTTTAAAAGTACCTGTATACATTCAACGTGGTTGTGGCCAATAGCATCATTTAAGCAATATGACAAAACTTTTCCACCACTCTTCCTGATCAGTTCCTTGGCTTTATCCTCAGACAGGAGCCTGCACAACTCTTCTGGCTTGTTTGCCCTCATAAGATCCCGAGCATTACCATGTAATTCCTCCTCCTCCTTATTCACTCGTAATCTCGACATTATCAGAAATCAGAAGTCAGGAATGGGTATGATCCAACTGTAGATGCAGAAATGCTATTGGGCAAACATTGCAAAACAATGCATAGCAGCTCTTATGCCATATGCAGCTTCATTTCATTGAATCTGAAACATACAAACTGATTCACGCAGAGTATTTTCACTCTGTTCAGCTCCACTCCTAGATTCTTCTGTATCCTATGTAGTTTAATAAGTTTGCACAGAAGAGAGGAGTCCTCCTCGGTTTGATCTTTCTTCCTGTTTTTCAATAGTGAATAGAGATCCGGCATGACATTACAGTCATGTGACTAAACCTCACATCCTCCTCAAAGGAGGGGGCTGTAGTAGGAGCACAGTACAGTGTCTGCAAGAGATGACTGATGAAACATAAGTATTACACTACTAAATGTGTCCCCTTTCCTTGAATAGGTCATTCAGAAGTGTCACATGGACTTCAGATTTGGATTTTTAAGGTCTTAGCTCAGCATTTGTGATGTAGTGCAAGGAATCTGTCATACAATCTGAATGTAAAAACTAGGGATGCACCAATACCGGTTTTTCTGTATCGAGTACGAGTTCCGATATTTTGTTCGGTACTCGCCAATACTGTATACCCCAATTACCAGGAAGCTGGTGTTCTATCGAAAGAACATTGGCTTCACTTCCCGAGTCTGCCTGGCTTCCTGACCAATCAAGAAGCTGAGTGGCAGATCATGAGGTGCCGCCCGGCTTCCTGATTGGTCAGGAAGCCAGGCTGCCTAGCAGCAAGTGAAGCCGGCTTCCTAGCCAATCAGGAAGCTGGGCGGCACGTCATGACCCACCTCACGGCTTCCTGACTGGCTGGGAAGCCAGTTTCACTTGTTGCTAATCAGGAAGCCGGGAGGTGGGTCATGAGTTGCCGCCCGGCTTCCTGATTGGTTAGAAAGTCAGGCTTCCTAGCCACTCAGGAAGCCGGGAGGCGGGTCATAACCTGCCGCCCAGGTTCCTGATTTGAAAGAAAGCCAGCTCCATTCTCCCTTTGTGTCTGCCAGTCAGAGGGAGATCTCCCTCTGACAGGAAGTTCTGGTATCGGAGGTAAACATCGGAGCATTTGGGCGAGTACGAGTACTCACCCAAATACTTGGTATCGGCACCAATACCGATACTAGTATCATTATAGGTACATCCCTAGTAAAAAAAAAACAATTGAGTTTAGATAGAATTGCAAAGAAATCTAAAGTTGTGTGGGCTTACATTAAATCCATTCATAATATACATTTAATCCATTCATAATATACATTTAATACATTCATAAAATGTGGATGAGGTTGTATGAAACATTGGAAGAATAAGCTAAACATTTTTGTTTAGGGTAAAGCTAAAAAATGTACCCTTGCAGTGGGTTCCCCTCCGCAATCTAATTGTACAATCTTCTTTAGGTCTACGAGCAACTATTTAGTAAAAGAGCCTGCCAGATTGCATACAATTGAACGGATTGTTTAGGTTTGTGTTCATATTTCAGAGTTTTCGTAAATGAAAGTGTACAGAGATTGTACAATCAGTCCCCGTTCACAACTAGGCGATTTGCAAATTTCTGTGCATATTTTTGCAAGTGTTTGTCCATTGACCGCAATGTCTTTTAACCACTTGCTGTCTGGAGTAATTTCTTTTATATTTGCACACATGATAAAATCAGAATTTTTGACTAACAACAGGTTAAAACCCCAAAACAATTATATATGTTCTGAAAGCAGAGGCCCTGTAGAAAAAAATGCTGGATGCAAGTTTTTATGTTGCATGGTATTTGCGCAAATGTTTATCAAACCAGCATTTTTAGGCTAAAGTACACTGAAATTAAATTTAGTGCACAGAAACAGAATATCATACACAATTTGTTGGTGAAATATAAAAGACGGAGTCACGCCGGGTAAATAGATATCAAACATGTCAAGCCTTAAACTGCATTTGCCCGTGAAACCGCAAAAAACTACAATACCCAAAATTTCCCATAGGCGACAATTTAAAAGCTTTTACTGCTCATCAGTGTAGTGTTAACAGTGATTGATGGCCCTAGAATTATTGCTTTAAAGGAGAACTATGAGGTGAGTGAAAATCACTCAGCCTCATAGTTCGAGCCGACGTGTGACAATGAAACTGTCACACGTCGTCTCAATAGATCGGCTCAATAGATTGGGAAGTGAGTGAACACATACCGTCGCTCGCTCACTTCTCAATCAATGACTGTCACTCACGGCTCCCTGCAGTGATTCCCCCCCAGCTCCGATCATCCAGTGCTGACAGCTGGGTGCGGGTACAGCTGGCTCTGCCTCTAGATAGGCAGAGCCAGCTGTCAATAACGCAGCCGGGTGGATCTCTGAGTAATGTCGGGATCCGTCCCGGCTGCAGCAGTCTCAGTATACCGCGAGCTTTGGGTCACGGGAGAATGCTAGTTTGTGTCCTTCCGTGACCCTTAGGAGAACTATGGGGAAAAACACTTACCCTATAGTTCTCCTTTAACTCTGACGCTCGCAGCACAATTTTCGATTTTGCACATTGGCGCACCCGATGCATGTTTGCGCTTGTATGTGCGTGCATGAGGTGACCTACCTGTAGCTTTGTTGCTCTATTCCAGCAGAGTAAAATCAGGTCACCATTATGACTGTGGTGTGTGGCTGACCTTCGTAAATCTGCATGGAATAATTACATGGCCTTTGGTAGGTAAAACTGCTCCTTTATTTACAATCCATCTGTGTATTTAGCTGTTTGCTTGGAGTTCAGCTTTAAAATGTTGTCATTCAGTTTCATGGTTCAGTAATTAAGAAACTGGTTTTGTTGTGAGAAGGTTGGATATTATGAAGCTAAAGAAAGCTGTAGGTGTGATCAAATACCCCCTTTAGAAACGACCCTCTTACAGCTGATTTGGCATCATTGTATTCCTTTATTATTAATGCATGGTATTATCATGCATCTGGGGACGTATGTCTTCTTAGCAATAACATCATCACACTATGTAAAAGGAAAGGCTGTGCTGACACAGATACGATGGCTTGGTGCAAACACAATAGAAACACCAAATGAAATGGGAGTTTATAGGAAAGTTAAACTATATGGGGCTCCTATTGCTAAACTCCTTTTTAAATATGTTAGTTTCCAAGCTGCCATGCTAATGCTTTGGCTTCAATATTCCTGAGTCACTGGTGAGAAACAATACACAGATCAGTAGTGAGGACCTCACTCTGACTTCAGGTGTTTCATACATATACCAGGTCACAGACTCGGAAAGTATTGGTGCCAGAGACAGCTAGGCAACTAGCATTTTAAAAAGGAGGTCAGCAAAGGCAACTCTCATGAAAGGTTTTATTTAACTATGAAATCTAAACGCTAAACAGCTGCAAAGGAGCCATATTAGGTTGACTGCCAGTTACTACTGTATTGGAAATGAGGAGAGATATCTAGTACTTCTAAGAAGCGCGCAACTCACCTTCCTTCCTACTATGAGACAGCACACATACTTGCTGATTGGATGCTCAGACATGGGAATGGGGAAAGCACACTGTTTAAACACAAAGGCAAAGTGCTAAACAAATTCTAGTGTGGTTTCCTGAACACTAGGATGATGCTAATCTGAAGTGCAGAGTGCAAAATAGATTTCCCACCTCCTCTCCTCAAAGATCGGAAGGCTTTTCTTTTTGAATAATGGAGCAATATTTTATTGTACACACATTTAGGATTTATAAAACTCAATTTCAAGAAGGATTGGTGCTGTTAAAGGCAAAGGATAGTTCTCCTCCTTAGTAGGTAGCTGATATTATTATATTGTTGTTATGCATTTCTGCTATGTTGTCCACCTTCTGTGTATACATGTCCAACCAAACTACACAGTTTAGAATGCAGTTCCACATTATTTGATACTTTTGCTTAGTTACAAATCGTGACTTGTTAGCTCTTCATTTTCCCTGGGGTTTCGGCCATTACAACATTCCATCAGGTTTGGTGCATCAGATATCTGATCATAGTCTGAGGAATCTCCAGTTGGTTGAGGAGATGTGTTTTTCCTGCTTGTCTCAGCAGCTTCATGATGGTCAATCGGCACTGTGACATCAAAGACTTTGGGTGCACTATAAAGAGATTATAAACAGGTAGTGATGTGACATTTTTGTATCAGCTTTTTAAGGTACAATATGGTAGAAATAATGCCTTTAAAATGCACAAAAGGAGAGTAAACTGTACTGCTCAGTTCCTGTCATCCTCCAAGATCCATGGCCCATAAGCTCTACTCTCTGCACCCCCTTCCCCTACACTGATCTCCCTGACTAACCCCTACACTGGCACTGTCCCTCACTAATCTGGTGTCACTAAAACAGCCGTGGTCCACTCACTTGTGTACCATTGCTTCCAGACATTGCCTGCCCCCGCTTCCCCCTTTACTGTCACACTGGTAGCCAGGTTTCCTCTCAAAAGCATACAATACAGTACAGTAAAACAGCTAAATCTATAGTGTTGGTGCATACAGTATATGAAAGCTATGATATGGAAGTATATGAAAGATTTGTATTCCATTAAAGCCTTGGCAGCCACCACATGGAAGTCTAGAACGTAAATAGGCATAGATATATAAAAACGCGATATATTCCCATTTAGTACATTTTACAGTTAATGTAAGATATAGATGGTATGGAGACCCTTGTTTCACTTTTGTGGTGGATATTCTATGGATCCATTGTGGAAGACATGAGATGATATTTAATATTGGTCAAAGGTATTTCCAACATATTGTAAAAGATATTTGCTCGATCTAGAAAGTGAAGAGCAAACAGAATGGAAGAACTAAAGGGACACCATCACAAAGTAAAATAACTGCAAAAAGCCTTAGATAGAAGCCACAGGTACCTGTGTTAAACTAGCTATACATGGTTTGGATTTTGGCTGATTCCTGCTGAACTGGCTGAGATTCCAGCTGTAGGTGGCCGTGTTGCCACTACTTGGCGTGACAAAAGTCAATTTAAATATCAGCTTTAAGTTGGGTGGAAAATTCTCGCCTGAGCAGTGACTGCATTCAAGGAGGCACAGTCACTGTTTGATATTCAGACAGTCGTGGGTACTGCAGCTGTCTCAATATAATAGTTGGTAGCGGAAATCCCTCATCCAAGGCCAGTCATTCAATAGTGCACAGTAGTAGAGTGTTAAATGCAAATTGCAGTAACCTATAGAAACCATTCACAATCCTGCAAAGATCAGACCTGTACGAGCTTCTGATTGCCTGATTTTCGTACTTCATACCCCATACTATCAAAGACTTTGGGGTTGGTTTACTAAAGGATTAAAGGCTGTTAAGTTAATAGAATGTATGTTTGCAAAGAGAATGTATGTTTTCACTTTGAATTCTCAATCTTGTGCAAAGTAAAAAAATAAAAGTAGCACGTGATTGGTTGATTGCCGTAAATGCAACTTCACTTTATTTACTAAGCTTGGTGAACATTTACTTTAAGTGAACATTCTCTATTTCTTTAGTAAATCAACCCCAATGCATCAGCATAACAGCCAGGTAAGTAGCATTTGCAATGTAGAAGCCATCGGTAGCTGTCCACATATTTCTCAATGTGGGAAATCCAAAATGTATGAATTGTCCCTAGAACAGAAGGTGAAGTCTAATCATCCATTAAGGACAAATGTTCCATCACAGCTGTCTAGCATAAGAATCCCCTCACTTTGGGGAGATTCCCTCTCATTTCCTGTGCTTTCTAAAGTACAGAAAGTGAAAGGAAATCTTCCTGGTAGGAAACTGACACCAAACGATAACCTTATAGGGGTTTCAGTCCTATAAGGTTATCTCTACTTCTCTACTATCTAAAACTAGAAAGAAACATTCTAGCTATAAGACATTCTTATGTGATATATGGGGACCCTTGGTGTGTATTCATCCAAATGTCAGGAATTACCTTTTTCTCTAGCTAGAAGCTCCATTGCTTCATGATTAGGGAATGACTGGGCAATGTTGAGGTCAGGCAAGTATACATTTGCTCCATAGTCAATAAGTAACTTTACAAATGATGTTCTACAGCCATGTTTCAAACACGTGTCCAGTACAGTTTTAGGTTGTTTTATCCTTTGTAGTATTTTCTCATCAGTACAGTTGTAGTTGGGGTCAGCACCATAAAAAAGCAGAGTCCTAAAGCACTCCAAGTGCCCATACACAGCTGAAAGGTACAACGGTCCAGTAGAAATGGTGTTACTTGCTGCCCAGTCAGGTAACTTGCACTTGACATTGGGATCTGCACCATATTCCAGGAGCTCCCTTAAAATGCTGATGTTGCCTTCCCTGGCAGATGTCAGCACGGGAGAGCCGTTATTGTGGACACTTCCGGAAGGACTAGCTCCAGCTTTAAGTAATTCTCTGACACAGTCAAAATGACCAGCACTGACTGCAGCAAAGAGCGGAGTTTGGGCCTTCACATCCAGTATGTCCACTTCTGCCCCACTGGCCAAGAGAATCTTCAGACATTCCAGGGACCCTTTGGAGGCAGCCAGGCGGAGAGGTGTTACTGGAACTCCCCACCCAGTACGACTGTCCAGATATTTCTTATATTTCTCATCAGAGAGAAGAAAAGCTAGATATTGTGGGTTATCCATTGCCACTGCAAGATGTAACTCACGACTTTCTTCCAATGCCTCTTCATCTTCTTTAGGTTTTAACATTGCAAAGATTTTTGTGATATCCATGACTCTTATCTTTAGACATCTGCAGAAAACCATTGTCAGAATGAACGATCTGCAAAATAAAAGAAAAAAGAAAAGGATTTAATTTTTACAAGATTTCTACATACCTGGAGATCAATATGTTTCATGTTCACATTTCACAACATGGAGTTCCTACCTCTATGAGCCTTTTGTATATCAGAAAGTACAAGCAGCATCTTTGCTAAAAAAAACTGATGTGAGGAAATCGTTTTCAGTAGGGTTGCACACATACCAAGTACAGTACTCGGTACAAGTACGAGTACATGTACCGATACTTTTGAGCTCCAAGACTAGACTAGAGAAAAATTCAAAAATTGGGATTTGTACATCTCTGTTTTAATGTACGATTTTGTTTTTATAAATATAAATAAAGGGATGCACAGATGCCAGTTTTGCGAGTACGAGTACTTGTACTTGCCGAGTACTTACAAGTACAAGTACTGATACATTTTTGTTTTTTTGTCATGTGACAGTTTTTCTAAAACAATACAGACTAATGATTTCAGGACAGTGGTGGAGTGCCAGAGCCAGGTCCCGGCTGCAACCGCTGCAACCCTGGTAGTTCTCATGAAAATGCCAAGTATCTGCACTGGTACTCAAAAAGTATCTGCGCATCCCTAGTTTGTGATGGGTCACAAGCACAGAATGAATGTCACATTAGCCGGGGATGCAATGCCCGATCTATTCGATGTACAGACAGGGATCCAAGTTGGGTGTTTGCCTTTTGCTGGAAAACTGTTGGAACACTGTCCCTACTGTTCGATAGCTGGGGATCAGCTGAAGCAGCTTGTCTGCAGTGTAGTCCGCATCCAATAAAGCACCCAATAAGTACATTGTGTGTTACTGCAACATACTGTAAGGCACATACTTTTAAGGTGCCCACACACCTTGCGATAATCGTACGATAATGTGTGGAAGGTGTGCAACCTCTCCTGCTGTCAGGTCGCACGACTTTTATCTTATGAACATGTTCGAAAACCCGCCGAGAATCGTACAATTGTCGGTGGGTGTGTGGCATGTTCGCAAGATAAAAGCCGCACAGGCCGGTGTACGCAAGCGCACACTGCCCATTTAGCATTGCGGTCATCGGAAGCCCGCCCCTCAGCGGGGCGTGGCTTACGATCATTGCAAGTACGATCTGCCTGTCCAAGATAGGCAGATCGTACGTTTTTTTAATTACCTTACAACCATCGCAAGACAGAAGTCTTGCGATGGTTGTAAGGTGTGTGGCCAGCTTTAGAATGGAAACCCCAACTCACAGAACAGCAGGTGCTGACAGACCCACAGTATAGAGCACCATACCACATATACTGTGTGTTGTGGTGTGCTGGGTAAAAGGCAGCTTTAGTTTTTGTTCTGTTGTTGTGCATTGGCAGCCCATTCTATCTGACTCAATGCAGTGAATGTTAACGCACGAAATACCACATGTCAACATGAATGCACCACAATGGAAGGTGCAGGTGTGAAGGTCACTTAGACATGCAATATATTGGCCAAAGCCCATGATCGCAGATATTTTTTTGTCCAAAGAGCAATTTTCTTTCTAGCAAATATCCGCAGACTCCAAATTCCATTTTCCAAGGGCCCGTATCCTCATTGGATGCAGTACAACAGCTAGGGGCTAGGCAAGGGGAACATTTTTCTATTGGGGATAGTGTGTATGTGGTCTTTAAAAGAAACATGTTGCTGCCATTCCAAAGGCACCCATGACTCTTTCGTAACAGGGTAGAACTTAAAGTAGAATTGAATCCAAGCAGGGGAGAGTTATAACTCCTGTCAGCTTATTTTTGTCCTCTGTGTCACATTGGGGAGATTTCCCTTCACTTCCTGTCTGACAGCCACAACAGGTAGTGAGAGAAAATCCCTCCAAATTGATTGAAATCCCTGGTGGTCAGCAGGCTCACCAGAACTATTGCCCCCATTGGAAGATTTCACATGTTTTCTTGTTCTGGTGACAAAAATCTCTTTTAGAGATTTTATTTCACTTTCAGTAAAACTGTCATCAGAACAAATATAAATAGTAAATCTCCCTAACAGGAACACAGACAGCAATAGTTGTTCTAATCTCTACTGAAGAAAATGTTTTGGCTTCAGTTGCACTTTAAAGAAAACCTGTATTGATAAAATATGTAGGCAACTAAAGTTACAAATTCATGTTTCCTGGCCTGACTCATCTAAAGGCTTTAATATTGTATGAGTTGCTTATGTGGAACAAGTGTGCAGATCAAGTATTCTGTTTTCTCTGTCACTTTCTAGCTGTGGCGTGTTCCAGGTCCATAGGACTGAGGCTACAGGCAGCTAGCATTTTCAGAATGGAGTCATCAGTAGTGTCCTCCATATCTTCTCTCAGTAAATACGGCAGGGTTGCAGAATGACTGGACCACAGAGATCTTGCAATATATGTATATGGCCAAATAAGTTGATTGATTTGCCCAAGATCAAGGTTATCTCAAAAAAGACACCCTGATCCTTTCTTTATGTGACTGCTGACTTTAAGTGGAACTCCAGCAGCAATCAATTGGTTAGAGTGTGGATCAGTTAGAGTCTCTTTCAGGTTTTACTGCTATGTGTGCTCCATTGTTTCCTCATCCCTCATTAAGGGAAATCTTTCTTTAGGTCATGGGCTGGGAGGGAGCAGGGTAGAACCAGTAACCGAAAATCCAGTATGCAAGTACCAATCAGCTTTCTGGTTGCTCCCCCCCGCATCATGTGCCCCACTGTTAGGGCCACCCATAACAATGATGGGCCAGTGGTAAAGCGGATGAATTCAGAGGGTGCAGAGCAAGAAGACCAGAAAGTTGGTTGGTAATTGCACACGGGAGTTTCAGGGGTGCTGGCCCACTGTAAAGGGATTACATACAGTGTTTAGGCAGCTGGCAGTGCAGGCTATTCATTGCAAATTGTAAATTCCCACTTTTCGGTGCTAACAGCCATATTAAAGTGTCACACAATGTGGTTTGGATGATCATAATATGCCTACAAGTGTTTGATCTGTGAAATTACCCCTATCTGGTCCATCTTGCCTAGCTGATTATTGCTGTATCCCCTGGCACCAAGGGTGTCTGTCCAATGAATAAGTATGCATGCTCTGCTGTTATGGGTGTGTATACTTATGAACCAAACTTTCGTAAGATTCATTTTTTCGGGGTCAGTTCTTTTGGCTCTCATATATTTATTTACACATTTTATTCCCCAATACATATATTATGTAATGACTAGTCACACTTTACAGCAGGCCATGATGAGACTTGTAGTTCCTCAAACATACCAGAACCCCTTGTTATCCTATTTATGAAATCACAGCTATAGCACTGTTAGATCTATTTCTAAACACACATTTCAAACAGGCTACATGTTTTGAAGGTATGAAATCATTATGATTCCTAACTACTATGACATATAGCATTTTTGTCACATTTGTTGCAGTGAAAGATTTCTTTATATCCCTCACTGGATAACATACAGAAACATTAATATGGTGTTATTTAATAATAACTTGCTGTCCATCAGCATATAGCATTGATTTACCACAAAGGGGTTTAGATTTTAATACTATTTGGACTAGAACATACCTATATACTGAATTACATCATATGGGTATGAAATGAGGTCTGATTTGTCATTAAAGGCTGAATACAAATTTAAATGGCACTACTTCATACTAAGACATCACATTGCCACCATCTTTATAGCACATAATACAACATAGCTAAAATAATAGTAATGTACCCCAGACAGATAAATATTTACCAGGATTAATCAGAGAAAAACAAATCTTACCTGTATGAGCTTTGTGTAGGCTTTTATGCGCAGGTCCGATGTGCCATCTTTACATCCTGGCCTGTTGCCTTGTATACAAATGGTATTCAGCAAAGTCACTCCAACAAGTGTGGATTTGTAACTGGATGTGATTAAACTCTTCCAACAAATGGATAAGGGACAGAGCTCCTGCTAAAAATAATGCTGGAGAGGCCGTGCTTGCTATGTCCATTCTTGGGCTGTTGACATCACTGGAAGGGTAAATATAGAGAGGTGTCTGGCAGGTGCTCTTGTCTGTTTTAGTCTGAATGGTAGGCTGGGGTGTAGTGACATTGTTCTAAACAGCCTTCATCAGACAGCTGTAATAACCTAAACCAGCTACTGTATGGTATGTACAGATTAGTTCAAATCATTATGTCCTGCATTGTAATATACTCTATGAATGGCTCCCAACATCAATCTTTGCTCCATTTTTGGTTGGATGTATAGACAAATACTATTTATTCAACAAAAGTGTTATACTACATTAAACCTTTCATTCACTATCTACAGTACATTTGACTGTTATTTTGAAAACCCAGTATAAGGAAACGTTAAAAAAAAAGGACCTTCAGCTTAACCAATCATTTTTTGTATATTAATGCTTTATGGTCCACATAACTAGGGACATGACGGTGCAGTGTCCTTTAACTACATACTTTGAGATAAAAGTATAGAGCAGGTATAGGCAAACTCCAGCCCTCCATCTGTGGTGCAACTACAAATCCCATTAGGCATTGCAAAACTCAGGCATGCCTCCCACAGGATTCGTAATTTTACCACCACTGGAGGGCCAGAGTTTACCTAAGCCTGGTTTAAGGTGCCCATACACTGGCCGAATTTCGACCGGTTTTTACTGTACCGGACAAAATTCACATAGTGTGTGGGGCTGTCGGTTCCCTTTCAGCCAGCATTCCTCGATCAGATGATAGAAGGAGCCTGCTGGAAAATCTTTGTGCGATCAGAGCCAGCAGCCAATGGGCTGCTGGCTCTGATCGGGTATTCTGACAGGTGGCAGCTTCACCTGTCAGAATACAAAGCAAACAGTGGCGATTTCTCAATCGACACACTGTTTGTGTTGATGGAGCAATTGCGTCGATTTCGGGTTGACAGGTGTATGGACAGCCTAAGAGACACGCACGGGTCTTGCAGTGGAGATAAGTCAAAGAATTAGCATTTTATTGTCAATGTTTCAACTGAGGTTAGCCCAGCATTAGGGGGC